ATCATCGGACCGCCCACATCTATACGGAAACGAATCACGAAGGACACGCAAACCAAACCGGATTGTCAAATCCTCAATACAGCCTGGTAATAGAAGGGATGACCATACTATTGTCACCCCAACAATACAATCCTGAAATCCTATTACAAACAGTAATTCGTTCGACCTTCGCAACGGTTCACGTGTTTAACTTCAGTAGTTCAACCAATCTTACTGTCATGTCGACATTTTCTAAAAGAAATGCTTGGTATTCAAACTTCATTATTGACGACTACATGAGACTTCTCGTGAATTATTCCAAGTCAAACGTTTATGCATTTAATACGGATTTCATTAATCAACTCCTCACACATGGCTTTGAAAACGTCAAGAAAAATTTAATCGAACACAACATATTTTCTAAACAATATTTGTTTTTACCAACAATTGTGAGCGGTTGCCATTGGATTCTAAACACAGTACACATCCCATCACATACTATAACACAGTATGATAGCTTATACACATATTTTCCGCAAGTAACCAATACCATTGCAACCATGTTGAAACAATACACAGATCTTATGAACATTGATCCAATTAATTGGACAATCGTTCAAGGTGATTCTCCCTATCAAGAAAACGGGTATGACTGTGGAGCTTTTGTTCTCGAAATGACCAAACATATCACTATGGAAACACCATTCAATTTCAATCAGAAACATATGTCTCTTATTCGTATTCGACATGAGAAGGAATTACGACTTCAAACAATACTACCAATACTTTTACGACATGGCATGGATGGTAGCAATAATCAATCATCTCAAACTTCTAAAAATACAACATTATCACCCAACTCAGTATCAGGTGAGTCCACTGAGTTAATAAACTATAAAGCCATAAAGAACAAGCGTAGACTCAAACGTATGGGTTATAAAAGACCACAAAATCACAAGAAAAAGAACAAAGCAAAACACATGATCACACATTATCACAATAATACACACACCTAAATTTTTTAGACAAAAAATATAATATATTCATAATAAAAAAAAGGGGAAACAACATGTATCACATTTCATTATATTCTCATAGTTTAAGATAACTAACCATTATTATTATCATAATTACTATTATTATTTTATCCATTATTATACACCTTATCATGTTACGAGGGCGTAACATAAAAAAATTAGCCCGCACTTTGTAGTAACATAAAGCATATGTCTAAGTTTTAACTATATTTATTAAACTATCATTTTGTAATAACATATTATATATTCAAATTTATACTATATGTGACATTTTTATATAACTATCATGTTATTATTATTCAATATACAACGCGCGTAGTGTGATATAGAACCTCTTTGAATAATTTCAATAAACTTAAAATACTCTAATAGATAGCGTACATACTCATTTTAGGCGTAACATTTACATAACAATAGGTTCATTAAAGAAGGAGTTAAACACACGACTCGACACGAACTTATCCGAGACGAACTTAACCAACACAGAAACGCACTATTTAACCCAGCCCACAGCGCAGCGAAGCGCAGTTGCTCTCTCACATCTCTCATACAACCTTCTTCTCCTTATTGTGTGGACGCCAAAGTCGGGTAGCTGTTATCAGTCCGCCGCGGCCACCAATGTCCTTCCTTTCCTTATTGTGTGGACGCCAAAGTCGGGTAGCTGTTATCAGTCCGCCGCGGCCACCAATATCCTTTCTTTCCTTATTGTGTGGACGCCAAAGTCGGGTAGCTGTTATCAGTCCGCCGCGGCCACCAATATCTTTCCTTTCCTTATTGTGTGGACGCCAAAGTCGGGTAGCTGTTATCAGTCCGCCGCGGCCACCAATAACATAATCCTTCCTTATTATCCTTACACATACATACGCCGAGTCCGTAGCGATATATAAAAATACTATATTCATTACAGTTCAATTACTTAAATACTTTAAACCGTACGAGTTTCTTATCACACACGTGTCATTATTAACCAACAAAAAAACACTGTTGTTCTTTCGTTCATTATATACATATACCTATACCTAATTACTTTCCTCTTAAAGGTATCGTTAAAGGACATTAATTCTAGCGGTCGAACAATCCTATTACACCCATGTGACTATTTTTGGTCAGCAAGGAATGTAGTCGGCTTATAATAACTCAGTAGACGTGGTTATTTCTGACAAGCGCACTGATTATTATAATATCATTGGTAGACCGTGTACTGAATTACACTTTAACGAGAAACAGATGGTCATAAGATAACGTTAAAACGCCAGTGTTTGAAATATTTTATGAATGAAAACATTCGTGTTAAAACAACGTTCACTTCGGCATATCAAGATCACATACTCAAGGAATATCGACAAGGTCATAAAGCTTCGAGTGACTCCACGACAAGGTATGTACTGCATACAATATTATAACACTGTGTAATAATAAGTCTAGAGGCAGGAAGTGAGCCCTTGTAGTAAACATACACATATGCACACCCCGATTAAGAGTCGTTTTCATACTTATTTAAAATATCCATTCACCGCCGCTTCCCCGTCCTTTTCTTTTATTACAATATCACTTATTGATATTTTGAGTTATTCTTGTCACAATTATTATATTATAAATTGTTTATTTAGTAGTGAAAATTATATTTGTATTTTTTTTCTATGATTTTTTGTAGGTAACGTTATTGTTTATTAAGTTCATATTTGTTATTAATGAAGTATAATCAAAATTATATAATTTGTTATTTATGATAAACATTTTATTATATATGACATAAAAGCTGGAATTTTGTAATTATTTACTCAGGTTTTTTTACTGAAATTAAAATGATATTGAATGATTAAATTATGTTATATAATATAAGTATTATTTACAGTTTAATTTTTATAGACTCACACTTTATTCAAAAAAATTAGTTAAAAAATAAGACCCTGTAAATTATAAAAAAAATATATACATAATACATATGTATTTAATAAGGCTAAATCAAAGACAACCTACATATATAATCAATTCTATATTAAATAAGTGTACTCGGAATTTATAAAACAATAATAAGTAAATGGCGATTAAGTTACAAATATACAATTACACGAATATACTAACACACTAATATACGAAAACACGAATATACGAATGTACAAATACACGAATACACGAAAACACGAAAACACGAATATACGAAAACGCGAATGTACATATACACGAATACACGAAAACACGAAAACACGAATACACGAACTATATGAACTTAAACACGAACTATTCAAAAGTTCGAATACACGTATTTTCGTGTACACGTGAAATAAGAAGCTCTAGTATAGAGTCACACTCAAGAGTTGTGCAAATTCTTATTCGAATAAAACGTTATTTAAAAATAATTATTCGAATGAATAATAATAACTATACGTACATAATATATAATATATTTATACTAAATTGTGTTAAAATAAAAATTGTTTGAATAATGTGTTTTACATAGATGTTTATTTAGAAAACGTTTAATTCGAATACAGGGAATACTGCACTTGTCACACTAGACTTAAGTTTTGTTCAATTTTCACTTTTTAAGTCCAAAAACTACACCTAAATAGGAGGAATAAAGAAAAAAATATTCTTTTCCTTCTGTGTACGATTTCTGATCCATACACTTGCTATATGATGTGGGGGAAAACATTAAAATCTCCACAGCTTCAAGTTGAAGCTAAAAATATATATATAAATTGTAGGTAGTATGTATTGACTAATATTTTATTGATAACTCTGTGACTATACAACAATATATTATATTATTATAAATAATTTTGTCCGGTAGATATATAATACTATATTGAATAGGTAATAGGTTATAGGTTATATTTTTCACAATACGTTTATAATTATAAAAACACAATAATTAAATAATTCGGGTGTCCTGGGGAAAAATGCAGATCGTGATTTGTATACAAATATTGTAGTCCAGTAAATCTAAAAAATTCAATAAAAAACAAAAAATAACAACAAAAAGTATCTTTTTTTACGACGCTCTTATTTTCTAATCGCCCAACTATATTATTTTGACAGTGTTAATAATTTGTATTCTTTGTAAATGAAAACATATAATTTTTGTAAAACTGTGTAGAAATCAATAAAAAATAGTTTACAAGATACATGCATAAATGGGCTTAAGTATGTTTTACGACACAATCCGTTTTTGACCGGGACACCCGACGCCGTTAACGGCCTAAAATATAAAATATGTTAATACTTAAACCGATATTTAAAAATTACTATATTCAACGTGAGTAGTAAAAAATCATCGACAAAAATAAAATAAAAAAACTCTAGGTATATAATTTCTAAATTAGGTACGTGTCAAGACATAAATAAGTAGGTACCGACCATATAGTATAAATAGTAACGTTTAAGTAAGATATGGTGCCCCGTCGAATGGAATATTATCGCTTTACGGTTTTCTAAAATAAGTTGAATCGTTTATAAAACTGTATAAAAAATTCTAGAGAAAAAATATAATAATCAAGTAAACCGTTTAAACTATACAATATAATAATAATAGTAATAATATAAGAGATAGTCGAAGAAGATTAAATAATATGGTATTGCATGTTTATTAGTAAATGGCCCATAACTATAGTCTACAATTATTGGACTAAAATTTTCACTGTAATAATGATTATAATTGAGTAGCTAATACTTCCAAAACTAATAAGCTGCCGACCAATATAGTATACATAATATATACATATATATATTATAATAAATAAAAAAATATATTTTATACGTATGTTGCATTTGTTGTCTTGATGTGAAAATTTCCTAGCCTTAAATCCAAAAGTTATGATAAAAAAAAAGGTATTTTTTTATATATTAAGTAAGGTAAGGTAACCCAATTATAAATTAAATGTTATTGTAAAAGAGAAAAAAATAAGAACACAAATTTGTTACGAATAAAATCGTTAACATTAAAAAAAAAAAACTTTTTCAAAACTAAAATTGTCCCAAATCATTTTTCTTAAATATTTCCCTTAGGTTTAACCGTATTGACGTAGGGAAAAAAATTCAAAATATAGAGCAATTAAAATTAAAACCGTTTGTAATATATTGTATAGTTGTTTTAAACTGTTCAGACAATTTTGTTGATTTCCTTATTTTTCCTAACATTTTCTCAAAATATAGTCTAGACAATTAGTTTTGGAAATATGCTACTCGATTGTCGCGCAATAAAAAAAAAATTTATATTATGTATTTTGTGTACCAAAACGGTTATTGCATGCAATTATATAGACAGCATGTAACCCGTATGCCATGGAAACCATGTAGTTTTTTAACTTTTGTGTCGCACACCTAACCTAACCACGTGTGTCAGTGGTACAGAGCTTCGTTATTGTAAACGTTATCGGTCGAATAAACTATGCTTCGCAGACTTCGGGATCGTTCGAAAAGCGACGGGTCGGTGTAAATCGGTTCGCTTGGGTCTCCGAAACGTTTCGTCTTCGGTCCTTCCATTATCAAAGTCGTGTCATTGTTTGTCGTCGGTTCGGCCATTGTTTCGGCGGGAGGTCTAAATCAAAATTGTCGTTATAGCACAGACACGGATAAAAGCCGTGGGGGTCACTTTCAATGTAGACAAAAAAGTGACGACCGTTTTGTTGAGACCTATTTATGCCGGGTTGCGCCAAATATTTACACTTGTTTAACTGGAATTAAAAAATCCATTCTGTCGCGGAAACCATGTTTTTAAATTGTATCTGTTGTTAAAAAATATGTACTCAATCACGAGTTAAATTACAGGGTCATCTATTGAAAATATTAATTTATAGTTAAATTTTGTTATCAATGTTTTATCATTGATTAGACCTTGTATGATAATAATATTAACTTCTACTGCTGATCCCATTTATTCGATAACTAGTATACTGGTAATAACTGGTAAAACTTGTAATTACCTCAACAGAAAACAACGATTGAGCAACATTCGTAAATTTAACACATGTTAATTTAACAAAAGACAAAGTTTAACAAAAGTTAGTGTTTATTACGGTGGTAAATAATTTACCAATAGATAAGTTTGGTGCAACCGGGCATTAGTATTATATATTTATATGTGTTATAACTATACACAAAACTAAAAACATCAACACAGAATAAATAGAAAAGAAACTATAACATATTTACATGGGCTCTTATAGGACGAGATAAAAATATCATTTCCGACATCTTGAAAATGATCGAAAAATAGACAGTGCCGGTAGGTGTAGGGAATTCTCTTTTTCGTTCATTACGGTTGAACTGTTTACTCGACAAACGTTGAAAATGGCGACGACATTCTGTTGTCGGCGTACGACATTTAACAAATGAACAGTGTAGCCACGAATCACAGAAAAATTAAAAAAAAAGGAAATATCTGAGTTCTGGCGTCACTGGCTAAATCTCAATATGTCTGATCGTTTTTTAATAAACTAAAGATTCCCTTTTATTTATTCTGTGATAATAATGTATAGATATAACATTACAATTGTTTAGTAAATTTTATTTGTTAACTTTGTTATTATATGCAATTGTTGAGCCGTCATATTGTTTAATAAAAGCTAATAAAAAAAAAAACATTACATATTTTTAAAATATAAAGCTGTGTACATAAGTAAAATATTTTTGATAAATATGTAATGTGAAAACACATTGCCAAAAAAATAAATTTCTTTGGGATTTCGGATTTGTTGAAACTCCTCCTAACCGAAAGCAATTTATAAGGAAAGTTAAGCGTTTATATAAAAATTGTCATCAAAACATTCTACTTAAGTACACAGCTTTATATTGTAATAATATTTAACACTTAAAAGATTTTCATATGGTTTAAATAGAGTTTTTTTTTAAAAATTCCTACTATGCACACCCAGTAAAGTCCTAACCAGGTACAGTATAATTTTGTATAGCGAGAAATTAGCAACTAGTGGAGTAAAAGCAATTATTAAATCACAAAAGCGATTCTACGACGGTCAAACGCTTTGATGTGAATCTGCAAATTATAAGAATCAAGCACAGTCTAAACCAGCAGAAATTCCCAAAGCGCAGTAACGTATCAATATATTCGCATCTAAGCGTTTTCTTGAATGTGATTTTATTACTACTTCCAAATAACTGGTCTAGGAGAAATATGCACGAATAAAAACGTGAATTTATTGAACGCCAGGAAAAATGTGTCGAGGACGTATTTGGACGTAACTGAAACTGATGTGAGCATAGTCCATGCGTGCGAAAGGTGTGACAGGTATCATAATAACATATTATTGATCTATACAAGTGACGAAAACTAACACCAACCGGATGTTCAGGAACGGTCTGCGGTTGCTGAACGACATGTTTGAGAAGAAGCTGCGCCCGGAAAACGACCTTAACTGATTCGTTGATTTATTGCTGCGCTTGGAACAAACGTCGCCCAGCCCGGAATTGCTATTGGCCATCTCTTCTTTAGCAATTAAAAGCCAGTAACGCCTGTGACAATATTTACTTATTCAAATTCCGTACGCCATAACGACAATTGCGTTGTATAAATAAAATAACAATAGCTCATGGCAAAAAAGTGACTACAAAATGATGCCAAACCGATTAACTCCATAAAATGAAATTTTTCAGGACAGGCGGTTAAAGTTATTTGAAACAATGTAAGTACAATTACCAATATTCTTAGCGCACTCTAGTGGTGAAAAATTCAACTACAGAGTTATTTATCTTGGCCACTGAAAATTATACACTTTTTTAATCTAACCAGGCTGTTATTCGCAATTTGAAAAAAAGTTAAGTTAATCGGTTTGGCATCGAATAGACTCTACGCGAAAATAAGTCTCTACTGATTTGCGAATACCGCGTGTAACTAATTTCTATCGATTCGAATGGGTTTAACGTACTTGTAGTAGATGCCGGCAGACATGGAAGCCGTTATCAGTAACGTCAAGAACATGAAGAGCGAGAAAATCATGCTATAATATTCCCTGCTCGTCAAACACACACTCTCTGGAGCTGGTTCGGACGTCATGGTTTGTTCCAGAGGCATGTCGTACCGGCTTTCGTACACCTACGAAGCAGTAACAATATCGATTACATCATATTTCATTTTTCCTCCACCAAATATTATGGCACTTACTTCAATGACTTGTCTGACTTTCTCTTCTTCCGTTAGAACGGCTCCATTGGGTTCTTCCACAGTCGTTTCGTTTTGATCTTGATCGTCCACATTTCTACGTCTTCTGCCCAATGACGGTTCCGTTCTTCCGGCTTGTAGGGTACAGTAAGCCTGTGTCACAGTAAAACAAATGTTATTTATACTCATTCCTATTTTTGTCTACATTCTCATCTCGGCTACATCAGTTTTAAAAAACACCTGTAAATAGCAAATTTATATTACAATACACCAACCCCCGTTGTCCCTCTTTATCTCACTCAAACAAACTCGTTTTTCTAAGCTTAGACTTCAGTTTAACACCAATCCTCAATAGATCTTATAAAATGCATTGCTCACCTTCGATGAACTCCTATCACTGAACATATCGTACTACAGTAAAATCTATTTTGTTCTGACTTTAAACCTTATCGAAATCCCTTTCCAATCCTCACCCCATTCACACCTGATCACTATCCCATTCCATCGCCTCATCATCCTTTCCTCGTACTCTCTCCATCTTCTCCTCAAGATGATGTTACCGAAATACTTTTTCGATTGGACACATTTTACCAGTTTACACCCTCCGAAGTAACCGGTTTCAGGTTAATATTTATTTTAATTACCGGTTGACATCCATCTCGACAAGTCTTCACAGTAGCTTCGAACACCAAGAAATTGGACTCTGGTATTTTGAACGCGTTGAATCTGGCTTCAAGGCCGTCTCCTTCTCGAGACTTGTCCAAACTGGGAAATACATAATTGTCTACGGGACATCTATAAACGACGACCAAGTTAGAACGCGTGGTAGCTATGCCACATAGCACCTCCGCTAAACGGTCTTACCCGTAACGGTCAATCAATTGTACACTTCTGCCACTGTATGGATCTCTAGCTATAACGTTGGTCGCGAAAATGTCGCTGGCATAGCTGTGCCCGTCTTGAGCGTCCAAACGGAACGTCAGCGGATCTCCAACAGCGATTGTCTGCGTGGGACGACCTTGGAACAAAATGCTCAGACGAACGCGTGAGCTCAATGAATTCTCGGCCGGCAAATATTCAATAGGCATTGGACTTCCGGAACTGAAAAAGATGATTTCAATAAAAAAAAAATGTATCCACATTTGTTAAAAAAAACCCACTTTGCAGTCATGTAACTCGATGTGACGACAGCCTCACCTGGGCCTCGAAATAAACAAGTCAAATTGTACCGTTTGTCTCGGTTGGTCTGCACGTAATCGCTGAACTGCACCACAACTATATTAGTCATGGTGTCCCCGTACTGGCCATACAAAATAACACATTTTTAATAATATATTATGTACAAATTATTTGTGAAAAACGGTACTATTGTCGGTTAACAACACTACTAGAAAGGACTGACGATAGGACAGGTTAGATCAGGTCAGTGAACAGGTCAATGAGTCCCAAAAAATAATTTAACAAAGTCATGACTCAGATTTGGCCAGCAGATTTAGAGTTAAATTTGGCAAAACATATACGAGGTCATCTTTTTCAAAAGGATGTCCTTTTTCCAAAGCTGTACAACGCACTATAACAAACCTAATAGATTTTATAAAGCTGGATAGAATCCGAGATTACTATAGGAATGAAAAATTACAAAGAGGTAGCTTTAAATAGAAATAATAAGGAAAAAGAGATTTGGTCTTGAATAGCCTTTGAAGCTGAATGAAGATTTAAAAAAACAAATCAGAAAAATTATACTTAATCGTTTTGATTGCTTTATAGTACACTTTTAAACAAATATAATCAAATTATAGCTGTTATTCTGTTTGCGCGAAATTGAAACGAATAATATTCAGATTATAGGGTGCATATTTAAGCAGGTTTTTACTACTATCATATTCGCTACAATTCTGTTAGATTAAAATAAAAAATACGGAAAATATTACATATTATAATAACTGCCGGGTTCATTGTAACGTGGAAATTGGAATTCGTGTGACCACCGGTCGTTTTACATTATCCGGCGACCGACATGGTTGCCGATTTTGCATTCATTTATATAAATATTATGGTAAATGCGTATATTTGAAAATGTTATTTAACAAAATAATTTTATTTAATGATTCGTACCCGCAATGTTCCGCAGTCCGGATATCCCTGAGCGCCACTGATCCGCAAAACATTCACCGTACCACCGTTGCCCCTATAGAAACATCTGTCATAGAATCCATGAGTGTATATGCGTCCCAAAAAACCTTCGGGAGTGCGTAAAGTGAATTCCATTCCATCTTCGTTGCACACTTGAGTAACTACAATAATATCGATTAGACGTTGAAAATCCGTAACTAGTGTATTGTTTCAGATCCGAACAATGTTGGGTTTGATCCAATATCGGTCACCTATCTTATTTTCTATTTTTAGTGTTCATAAATGATCTAAATACAAGCATTAAGCAGTGGAAAAACGTTTATTATTTTTTGATGACCTCAAGATGTTTATTACAATTAACCATGTGGACGATAGTCTAAAATTACAACAAGATATAAACAGATTTTCGCCTTGACACTCAGTTAATGGAACACAAACGTTCGCCCATTTCCTATCACCATAAACTTAATGATTCTGATGTCACTGTTCTTAATGGAGCCGAATTTATTCTTTAATCGTCGTCTAGAAATGTCCCGTGTAAAATCTTCGAGCAAATTAAGTTTTAATAACCGTAACTTTACAGTTATCAGTATACGTATCTCGAAACTCTTTTTATTTGGCAAAATTGACAAAGTTCGAAGAGAATTAATTATTAGGACGATAACTTTCAAACTCAACTTGTCTAACCCTACCTATTGTTGACATAGAGTGTCATTGTAAATTATCAACCCCTGTGTAGGAAACTTGAAAATACTTTAGACTCCCAATTTTGATTTAACCTATTTAACGGAACATTGTCAGCTATTGTTATTGTTATTATTGTTACCATCCAGACACTCCTGACTGATTCGACTTCCCATGGCGGCCTTTTCGTAGAAATCGTAATCCGGAGCGTTCTCGAAAAATGCCGGGTTGCCCATGTCAACTAATCGAGATTCCTGGTCACTTAATTCACAGTTTTCCCTCTGGGCTCCGTACGGTGCCGTCCTGTTAACAAAATTACTATATCAATAAATCCCTGTCGCGGGCGACGCCTATATTTGTCGCGGTCCAATGATTTCCGTGAATAGAATTTATGATTCGTAAATTAATTAGCAAATATACGTACGTCTCGTAATGATAAAAAAAAAATTTATATATATATATATATATATATATTAAAAACCAATTGAAATAAAAAAATGAACGTTACTGACCTGTAATTGAACGACCGACAGTTGATGTCTCTCGCCATAGAACATTCCCGTTCACAATGCGATAGCGTAGGCGCGGTAATGAAACGCTTGATCAGTCCTCTCGTCATCCGCATCCGTACACCCATCTATTGCAATAGTTACATGTATGTTATATTAATTTTGGTATTAATAGTACCTATGTGTGGCAATTATTATTAGATTTAAAAAGCGTTATGATCTACAGAGAGAGCCTCTATAGCATAATGTTTGAATTTCGATTTTCGACGAAATTAATTGCGCTAAAAAAAATGAACTTAAAAGACACGAACATTCAGAGTGAGAATAAAAAATGTAACGACCGGTACAAAAAGTAGTAGAGCAGTAAATCGTTGAAAATCAATCAATCCGAAGACCATACGGCTTCTAGTTAGACATCGCTAATGCGTTCTGAGTGTTGGAAGAAGCAGCGAAGAAAATAGGGTTAAAAATCAATACTGATAAAACGAAAAGGATGAATCTCTGCGCTAGTCACAAGCTTCATTATGAGGCAAACTATACAATGGTTAGGTCTCATAGTAATGAGAGGAGTAAATTGAATAGCAATGGCTAATGTAATGGAACTCTCAAGGTAGAAGTCCTCGGGCAGACCTAGGAAAAGATGGATGGACGTGGTGGAAGAAGATTTAGGACTGAAGAGAGATAGTTCAGGATAGTAACAGGAAACGAAGTGATGTTATGCAGTTATACAAAAACTCTTGGTGAGTACCTTTACCAACGGAATAAGAAGAAGATAATACATTATATATTATGTCTTACATACGTGGTCTGTATTTAATTAAAAAAGTATCAAATAAATTTGCACATTTAATATTTTGTTCTCTGGACTTGAAAAATGTCATAATACCTGTTTGAAGCCGTCGTCGTCACATCTTATGTTGAATGGTCTATTCCCGTCTACTCCACCGCCGATACCGTTGCCTCCGCCAAAATATCCAGGTATTCCCAACGGTGGGCCTATAGAAGGTGCTCCCCCGAAAGGTGGTAATCCACTGGGAATAGCCGAAGGGGCATACGGCGGTATTGCGGATCCCAGAATGGCAGGTGTCGATCCGTATCCGTAACTACCACCGCTCAACCCGCCACCACCGCCTTGTCCCAAAAATCCAGGCGCATCGCCCGTTCCGTGACCCCAATATCCCGCAGGACTATCACTCGGGTACTGTTGTGGTCCGATACCCGCGTTTAAGCCTCCCAACGGTAGTCCACCGCCACTCGCGTATCCCGGATACGATCCTCCTCCGTAAATGCCGCCAAATCCAGTGCCTATATTTTATTAAACGCCTGGTGTTAGACGATTCATTTGACAATAATATTAGCGTTTCAATGTCGAAATTACCAATTGGTTTTCCCGGTGTAGGATACGGTGGTTTACCACTGCCCAGGAAGTTTGAACCCGATCCTACGGTGTCGGGTTTGACAAATGGCTGCGATCCAACACCGTCTAAAAACGGTTAAAATTACTACCGACGTTATTAATTTAACATGGATAATATATGTTATTGGGTTGGATACAACAAAATTTCATGTCGCCATTTTCGCGTTACACTTTCACTTTCAGTCAGTGATAAGATATCGGTGATAAAATATAAGAGCAAAATACAAGTGATAAGGAATTAGAGATAAGAAACAAATGAAAAGAGATAACACATCCATGATTTAATGTTTTTCCGCGGAGAGCAAAAAATAAATAATTTTTTCGTTTTTTATCTTACTTATCAGATTTTCATAATAATCGTAGTCAGCGTCGTAGATCACTCTGTGCCCGTCTCTCTGATTGAAACGGCTGAGCCTGCATATTCGAAATCGATCGCTGTACACGGCCGACCGACACTGGAAGCTCACCTGTCGCAGACATTCGTCCAGACACTCGCTCAACGATCGTCCCGTGATTTCCGAATGGAATTCCCCGCCGAGCCTGCTGTTCCTGTAGCGCTGAAACGCCGTGTCCGGTCTACGGCCGTCGGCAAACAGATGCGAAGTGACCGCGTTGTCCGAGAACTCGTTGCCCTTTGCTATAAGCGAATCACCACCTGATTTTTCGTTAGAGATTTGCAAACACACGTTGGGCAGGTGATGGTTGTGAAGGGCGGGGGAAAAAATTAAAAAAACACCCGTGGTACTTACGGTTGTCTAAACAGACCAAGTCGTAGAGGTCGTGCGTCGGACTGCTGCTCACTCTCAGGTCGTCCTTCTGAGACATAGAGTCTTCTTCGAATATTATACATCTACGGATTTGTTCGTCGTACTCGATTGCGCGGCAAAAGTATCTGAAATAAAATCACGGTCAGTCAACGTAGTATTGGCCAGATATATGTCAATTTTTTTAGTGTAATTGGTACTGACTTTTCGGCCCTCAAGCACTGGGCTTGGCACTCGATCAACGATAGGTTAGCGTAAATGTCCACTTCGAAAGGTCCGCCCAATCTCTTGTTTTCTTCTTTGATGAAGATGACCGAGCCGTCACAACGTCTCTCCACTAAAAAAAAAAAAACACCACAGAAATTATTCAAAATACCGGTACGAAATTATCTTCGGTAAATAATTAGTGTTGTACTCACTGTTTAAGCAAGTATTTTCTAAGTAATCCGAATTCGGATCATCTTCGAGCATCTCCGGATGAGATCTCCTTGTAAATCTGGATAACCAACACGTTTTGGCTACCGAGTCATACGTAGCCGAACGGCAGACAAACGTGAATTCGTTCAAGCATTTATCTTCACAATCGGTTCGGTTGGCCGCTATCATCTCCTTGTAGTCTGTGTTTGGCAACTTAAGTTTTTTTCTGGTGTGTCTTTCAAAAACATAGTGCCTACTGACGCACTCTCTTTCAATTCGGCTAGCTAAAAATGTAGTAATGCCATTATTTTTTTACGGATTATAATTATTTTGCAGACAGACGACCACTACGTTGTATTATTATTATTTAGCTTCATCCAAAAATACGTGCAATTTATTTCATTGTTGTAGAGGTAAATTTTAATAACAATACATATTATAAGTCAACAATAATATTACAGTGTTCATTATTTAATTGGACACACTCGGGCTATGATTAATTACGATTAACCGTAAAGTTGACAAACATAATACACTCGCGAAAAATGTCGACAGAACCAGATGAACCAAAATTTGAATAAAATCTAACTAATATACCAAAATATTAATCAAACATATGTTTTACAGCGAACACTTTAAAAGAATTATTCAAAGAGTTCAGAAAATATGGTGAAATATATTGTATTAACCGATTGCTATAAAAACCATTTAAGGTCAACTAAAAATAATTACATTTTTCAATTTTAAAAGTATATTAGTGTCAAGTTTCAACGCCAAGCTTATTAAAGTCTAAAATATTTTGAATTTATGGCTTTTGATTAAATGTTGTTAAATTTTCTGAGAGTATCAGCCGTGTTGTATTAAACGATTTGCAATGTTATTAGTGAAAATCACTAACCTTATACCTTACTGCATATAAAAGAAATCCACTACATGATCATTTTTTTTTTATCAAGTATACCAAAATGCAAGTTTACCATCATAATAATGATGTTATTCGCGTCGTATTGGTACTTTTTTCTAATGCATACACGATTTCAGGCTCTAATTATTAGTTGGACCTTTTTATTCGTATATGATATTATAATTGTGCGGTTTTGATATTTGTCGAAATCATAATAGTTATAATATAGTTTAGGGACATTGGTCTCGGCGTATTTTTTGATGGTATGATGGTTTTTTATAATGTCAGAGTGATTCAAACAATACGGTAGAGGAGAGGATGGGTCGAGTAGATTTTTGTTTCGTCGAAATTATGAACGTATGGAAAATAATATTGGAATGAGCCAAATTGGATTCAATTTTAATCACGTGTTCACAACTACATTTGCGATAGTTATCGCAAAAGGTTGTTCACCTGTATGTCGATCGCATTTCGTAGTACGGTCGGTTGCACACTGTGTGTTTGTTTCCGGAAGTCCGGAAATGATTATCAACCTAACCGAACAAAGATAGCCGGCACAGTAATCGAGGACGGATGAGGAGACAAATTTTTTATAGAACTTTCCATATTAAAAATTGAATTTGCACGATTAGTATTCATTTTTTGCACGCCATCTGCTTTGTCGAACAACAACAAAAAAAAAAAAAATCATATTTTAAAAAGCCAGCACAGTGGGGTCGGAGAGGTCAATTAATGTGTTTAGGAATTATTATCATAAAAAGAAAATACAAAATCTATAATGATTAATAATCATTTGGTTTTTGTTATACAACCTTTTTATACTCGCCAAACTTATATTACATGTTATAGTAATACCTCGCATACTTGACACCATGTTATCACCTATAGGAAATCTATTGAATTAACAAAAGCAGCTTTAGTTTTAAAGTACATTGAAGTGTTCATATTTATCGTTAAGACGTTATTACAAGTATAGATCTCCAACAAAGTAATAGCAATAAACAATAAAAACTTGGCTTCCCGCGATTAGCACGATTGCTTAGCAGTATGATAAAGCAGTGATATATTTACCAAAATTATCAATATAATAATACCGAATATTATTACATAAAAAAAAATAATCTTACAATAGTCGATAAACTTATTAATACGGTCAAAGCGAAAAATAATAATTATCTTTGCATCAACAACTCATTAGTTGTTATAAATTATATGTATACAATACTCAATAGTCAATATATACATAATATAAAAAAAAATCACCGTTTAGTCTCGTTAGGTAATAGCACACATTCTAGTTTTTAATCTATATTATTAATAATTAACTCTTGGGTACCTTTTAGAAACATTAGTTGTTCAAATACTTCATCGCATAATTTAGATCTGGTAGGAATCTGTACAAAACAAGCAAATGAAAAAAGTCCTTCAGCAGAAGCGGACAATGTACAATCTATTTTGTGTCTTAAAATTAAGATGAAAAATACAAGATACTTGCATCTTGAAAATCATAATACATGATACAAAATACAAAAAGTATTTTAAATACCTGTTTTTTAGTTATTGTCCCTCCCTGGTTGTGCTATTAGTGTAGGACTCACAACCCCAATTATCATTTTAGTACTTAAGGTACATACGATTAGGGTCTGTATTTTCTGATAATCCGTATGGAAGAATGCTGTAAAACTAATCTTAGGGTTGATTACAAGAGAAGAAGAAGGGAAGTTTTTAAGGAATTATTTGTTTAAAAGAATTTTAATGGCAACATACACACTTTGGTTACCTATTAAAAGCAAAATATTGTGACGAAAATAATGATAGGTTGATAACCAGTTTCACAAACTAAAAAAAAACTTTAATGTCTTAACTCAAGTGGATTCTACTATCATAAATCTTCAACTAAAAACTTAATCAACTTTAAAGAATATAATATTTTAAACTCCTTCTTCGGTGGTGATCAAACTGATGTATGTGTATTAGCAGATTTCTAGACCATAATTTACTAATTCAAATTTTTTTTTAAAATAATGGTCTTAGAAATGTTTATCTTAATAGAATTAATTAAAGCCACCATAGTCGGATTTTGAAAGTTTTTCGGTTTCTTAGACATCAAACCATGTATAACATTTACCTGGGGATTACCAAAAAAAAAACCCACATAACCAAATGACTGTGAACATAGATGGCGCAGAAATGGAATCAACCAACAGCCAGACATATCGTCGGCTATAACAGATAGACAGACTCGAAGGAACACGCAGACATCACAGTGGCGAAAGCTAGCACAGTTAAAAAGGCACTATCAAGATTTGTGCTCAACCTAAGAGTATATAGACCGCAAACATGGAAGGTTAGGTTGGGTTAGGTCACTGGACTGTTAGGTTCAGACAGTCTGGCGACATCGCCAGATTCATCAGACTCTATTGGTAATTGTCATTCATAATAAACTCGACGAAAGACTTAATCTTTAAGATTGCGATAAGTACAAAAAATTGCTACTTACACGATAAGCAAACTTCGGTGTAGTGGACACTATTGGGGACCAGGACCAGCACACCAATACCTTCTGGGTGCGCTTGTTCTCTTGTCAGGTAACAAGTCGATTCTTCATATTCCACGGTACCGCTAAACGACGCTATACGACTTCCCGGTTGGAAGTCAAAAGAAGTGCAAGTCCGCACAAGATTGTTAGTGGCCGTTCGGTCGCGCAAACACAGCTCTTGACATTTTTCCAGTACTCGAAATGGCGGTGCCGTGTCTCTTACCTACACAAAAGAGAGTACTGTTAATAATAATGAATTCAATGGCCAACATATGTTTAATATGTTTCTGATATATACGAATTAATGTGGTCATTGTTTTGGGCGGAATTTCATTTTGGAACGACCCCTAAATTAATTATTCTAAATGGATATATAAAGGCATCTAAAAATGGCAGACCTTAATTTTGATGTTAACACGTGCCCATTCGTTTATTAAAAAATAAAAATGTTCTATCTCAAAATTGTTCGTTTTTTTTTTTATTTAGGGTAAATAAAAAATATATTGCTTACACGATATTTACTGCTGCTAAGTTCTCTAACAAATTTATATGTGACTAAAAATGTTAAAAAATATAATTTTTCCAAAAAAAGTTTGCGTTATTAAAAATTTGAATAAAACATTAAGTTATAAGAGAACTTTCCAGGACATTTTGTAAAAAAGTTTTATTTTTGTTAACATTATTATGAAGAAAAAAAAATTGTTAAACACAATTTTGATTAGACAAGTGCCGTTAGCACGTGTTTACGTTGAAATGAAGATCTGAAAAATTAGGTGCTTTTTTAAAATTCATTTTTATAACCAATAATTGGTATTGAAGTTTCACCAAAACTAAAATAAGAACCACCCTAATACGCATACATAATAATGAAATTACACTTTGGAGGTAAATTTTAATTAATTTTTTTTAATCATCTCCAAAGTTGTAAAAACACTGTTTTGTGTCATCTTCAGTGTGCTCTGTACGTTTTATATATTTTTAAATGGATTTTATTTGTTGAACTCAAAACTAATCTCAAAAGTCGTGTAGCAAAAGAAAATGCTAATTTTTTTGTTTTTTTTTTAACTCTCTTTACTTTTCTATTACTAGTTTAAAAAATAACCATAAATGATAGAAAAACTTTTGAAGCTAAAAAAAATGTAATTTTTGCGTATAGTATATTTTAAGTATTAATACAAATTTAATAACTCTGTACAATACAGTTTTACATCGTGCTTAGATGTAAAATAGAATAAAAACAAAAGATACATTTTATATGTAGGCTTTTTGCTAAATTTTAATCTGGTCTGAGACTTTGTCCAACACGTCTGGAATCGCCACCAAAGTTGTGAAAAATTTACAAAATAAAAATCAGAATTTTCGCATTTTCTTTGACATTAGCGAGATTTTAAACGAATTTAATTTGTAATTACTTGTAAATGAATTATGTAACTTTTAACACATTACATAAGATCCTCATCTTTGCCGACAAGCCAAATCTACCCCACGAACCTTCAAGTATTTTTTATAATTCCTTTTTTCTTGGGTCCACCTCTACCTTTTAATCTCACTTGGCCTTCTCCGGTTTCTTCATTTTCTTCCTTTCTATTAACTATGTTCTATCAACATGGCCAACCCGTCTCAATCTGTCATCCATTTTCTTGTTTGCATTTGGCACAACTTTCAAACAGAACTACTATTTCACTAATCTTTCTTACACTCCATTTCCATACATCTTTGTCGTCTGAGTTAGTGAGAATATTGTGTTGTACATAAACTAGTTTTATGGTTTCAATAAATCTCACCACATCGTCGTCGAATCCTTGTAACTGATGGTCTGGAAGTCTTTCGTACACAATTCGACCGTTTCCTTGATTGCAAGTGGTTTGTGCTGGAACCGGACAAGAAAATTAGACAATTCAAGTTTATAAAAAATGCAATATCGAACAGAACAAAATATGGAAAACGCTTAAAGTGCCGATACTCACCGACGGAAGGCAATGGGATTGCCAGTAAACTAGCCAATGCAACTAGTAGAAACGAATCGAAAAACGATTTTTTTGTTTCTGCGACACTCATGGTGTACAATATATAATATTGTGAGTATTAATTTTCAATATATTTTTAATGCGATCCGACTGAATGTTGTACGCAACGCGCACGAATGGATGGAAAACGAATAGAATTATTCGCAGAACGTTGTGTTGTAATTTTTATTTACATTTCCACACAAGCTCTGCAGTGGACTATCATAATGGATGTGAAAAAATGTATAGTTTAATTTGATTACAAGTCGTCCGTCGGGCACGATGTTACCTTTAATAATCGAAAACAGAAATAATACATTTAAAACTAGTTAGTTATCCACGGACGGCAGCAACGGTGATGGCAGGATTAATGTTTCACATGAACTAGTTATGGTTTAACGTGTGTATGGACAGGATGCCACCTACCCTTCCACCAGGCGTGCTAAAGCGAATCATCCATATTGGTTATGGTACAGGATTTTCAAAAAGTGGAGGGGAATTAATTTGTGTCAAGTACATTTTCCCATTGTGATTTTCCCGTAGACTTTACAAACAAAGGTTGATTAACGAATACAACTGTACAATTTATCACGAGTTATGACTTGGAGGTTTGTGTTCTAGTTTTATTGGTTTTGGTTAATCGCCACCGGTGATAATAGGTATTTTGTATTTCCAATATACGTACCTATAAAAAATAACCATTAACTGCAATTACTGGTGTCGCTTTGAAATACATTAAAATATAATATTTCCTGACTGACCGAGCTTTGCGAAAAATAGTACAACATATTATATTACCCATGAGACATTTTAAAGGAGGCTATTTAATTCACATCATACTCGAATAAAAAGGCCATGTTAAATAAAAACTATAGCCAATTATGTTGGTACATCAGTATAATAGTTTAAAGCTGGGCCACATAAAACTTTATTGATTCCATTAACACGGTTTGGATCAGTTACAATATAACAAAAAGGTTTATCCATCCAAAAGTTGCAAAAATATATATTTTATACTAGTGAAGGGATGTAGAGTTTAAATACTCTGGATTCGAATGGTATACCTGTATACAGTCTGCTTTTAAGGAGTTTTGTTTAAGGAATGTTTAAGAAAAAAGTGGTTTTAATAAATTTCGACCATGTCAATTAATTATCCGGTTAATTTATTATTTTTCTTTCTATTTGTTTTTTTTTCCTGTATTAAAATTATTGTAGAAGGTGTCTGGGCCATCTTCTTTTTAGCTTTCTGGGAACAACGATTTTTTTTACATAAGCAGAAAATCAATAATTCCTACTTAACCTAATAAAGTAGTCAAAGTACTCGTATATCTTTACAGAATTGAAATCTAAGTACTCGAAATGTTGTCTGGCTTTCTGGTATTAACATAAACAAAACAGACCGCTTTCAATCCTCTTATTATTGTATTTTATAGTTTTATACATTAATAATGTATAAAATATATATATGGAGGTAGATTTGAATGCGGTGTACATTTGAATAATGCTGATAGAATTGTTTTCACTGTGCTGAAAATATAAAAAAAATAATAAAATAGCTAAAGGTTTTGATAATATATTGTGTTCTGTTATCTATGGATTCTGACTATTTATGTGATAAAGAAAATATATAAACATATCATAGACTTAAGTTTTTTTGTTTTATTTTCCTAGGAATTATTTTACTTGCAACTTCATTATTGATAATTCGTAAGTAGAAAATAATAATTTATACAGATCCAAAATGTTGTTTTCTATAATTCCATCAACGTATTAACCTATCTAACGTTGGTTTATTAGAATTATTTTATCTGATTTAATAGTAAATAATATTAACATTTATGCAATAGGTTAGATATGAATTTCAGTAATAAATTACTTTGTTCTTAACTGTTATGTAAAGTTAAGGTTGTATAATAGTTTGAGTTAAGAACCACAACAAAATTAATGTAATATAATGTACATAACTAAGTTGAGTGTTAAAAATTGCTTAAATTTTAAGAAAAATTAGTTAATAACCAAATAGGTAACCATTATATAATATTGTAGGTAATAGGTATATTATATTTTTAAGTTTTATATTTACTTATAAAAAAAAATAGTTTTTTATAACATAAATCAGTTGTATTGTACATATTAATTAGATACATTAAAATCTGTCCCTTTTAGATTCAAATGTTGCCCATAGTTGGGGTAGATTTGAACTAAAACGAAGTTTTATTTAAAAATTGATAGATTATATAAAATTACTTAATTGGCGAGGTTTAATTATAGGTTGTAACTCTTGAACTTGAAATTTGCAATAATATAAAACTGTGGAATATAATAGGTAATATGATTTTCATTTAAATGCTTAATTTCATATCAAATAAATATCACTTACTGCTGACTTTATATCACTTATTCCATAAAAAAAACTAAATCTAATTTAACTAAATTCGCAACAGACATTATAGTATTTACAGGGGAGGCCAAAGCATATAGTTAGTACCTTATTATCAAAGCAAATATAATAATAAAGCTACTTATATCATCTGAAAGTGAAGAACTTTATCTGTGTCGCCTCGACGAGTGTTTTTTAGTAGGTAATAGTTTTTTATTAAAACAAAGGTAAAAAGAGTTTTAAAAAAAAAATTGTTAAGAACTCATTTTTGGTTTTTTGTAATCAAGAAGTTATTATAAAAATTCCGTCGAGGCGACACACATAAAGTTCTTAATTTTCAGACGATTTAAGTAACTTTATTGTAAGACAATTTTTGGAAAATCTGTACCAAGGAAACCGTTTTTTCTCAACTTTTTTTTCAGATCTCTGTCGAGGTTGCTGCGATAATCATGAAAAGAGTCCTGACTTCTGAATTAACTAAATAACACATCACAGTTAAACGTTTAAGGTAAGATTTTGTAAAAAATTGCCTATACTTTACTCCTTAAAAATGGGCGGAGTGAAGTAAGAATATTAAAAAATCCCGATACCACCTACTCCTTGGCAATCGGAATGAGAAATTCTTTTGTCTCTGCATAATATTAAAAAAAAAATGAAACGCTGAGAGGAGTTTTGAATCGAATCAAGAGTTCGGTTCGGAAGTGAGGAATTTGCAGAGCAAATAAGTAAACAGCATATTATTATTATTATTATTTGGTCTGTGATCGAACAATAGAAAAATAGACTTTGTGAAGTGATAAAACTGCGGAGGGGGGAAGGGCGAAGGCTTATGAGGAAAATAGTAGCTCCCCCCCTATAATTTTCAATAGATTTCCGCTTATGAGTGTACCTACATACTATTATATATTATTATATATACCTACACGGAAAAAAAACTGAAAAAAGGTAGGCATAAAATATATGGTTTAGTAAAATAAACACACACAAAACGGGAAAATTGTGCGCGCCAACGACTTTTACGTTTTGGACTCACTGCGGGTCGTTATCTTCTAATATTATGGCATTGTGTTATCAGTAGTGAGTTGCGACACAAGTGAGAAAAATTGTCAATAAATGCAGTAAATAAAAATAAAAATAAAACGCCGTAAAAAAATAATAATATTATTGCAGTTGTTGTTCCGCTTCGTATCTACGAAAAATCAGCTGACCTCTCTCGCTCGAGAGAATAATAATAAAGTGACTTTAGCTTTCCAATACACAGGACGAGACGCGCTGTTGAACTTTATTTGTATTTCAATTGAAAATCGAGAATCGACCATTTTTGTTTTGTTTTTTCCGTCCAACTTTTTTCAATAAACGATATAGTAGCAGCTATTTGCTTTTTTTTTTTGGTCCGCGTTGGTTGTACGGTTTTTATTCTTTTTGAAAAGCATTCCCAAATTGTTCAGACAACAGTGTAAGTACATACTCCACTCGACCACCATGTACGACAACCCGGGGACGCTCAGAGACCTGTGCATCGACTATGTGTGCGACAACATCGAAAAACTCTACATGGCCGAACAGATTAGCGTGACCGACTCTCAGCCGTCCGAATTGGAATACATGTTTATCGACAGTAACGTGTATCTGCCGATGGAAATATCCGAGGTCCTATTGACCAAACTCAGCGAACGCAATAAACTCAACGACGAGACGTTGTCTCTGTTCAGCCATAAAAACGTTTATCTAAGGTTGGTTCAATTTGTTTTTTGATCGAAACAACTCTTTACTTACTTATTTTAATCTACTTGAATAGCAGAGATGGACACTAAAAGTTATTGTATTTTTGTTACAATGTATTTGTAATGGAGAAATACAAAACAGTTATTACATAACCATTGATTACATTCGTGGTCAAACTTGCATACATAACTTAATAAGTAAGTATGTATGCAGTACGGTTTTACTTGTTCCACAATAGATTTGAACCAAAAACACCTGTGTTAAAATCAAAAGTTGATGACATTTCGGAAGGAATGTTGTGAACTTTTTTCAAAATATTCCCTAGGTAAAAAAGTTATGACCATGATAAAAAAAAAAAAATGTAGGATATTTCTTTTTTAAACCGTACACAACATTACTAAGCCAAAAATAAGTATAAGGAAACCCAATATAACAATTAATAATGGGTTTACAACTGTTTGTCACTTTTATTTTTGACACTAGGTATCTTTACTTTTTTATTATATTGTACATTATTGTACACTTAATCCTCTAAAAAAAAAAAATTCAAAACAATTATCATATCTGCCCTTTTGATTTTAGCGTCAATGAGTTATCAAAAAAGTATTGATAGACAGGAAACTTTTATTTCTTTAATCAACAGACCGATTTCTTCATAAAGTTAGTCCTTTAAAATAAAAAAAATATATAAAAAACATACATTTTTTAAATGTATATATATATATTTATTTTTCACAGCCTTATCAGCTTAATATATTGACTAATCAACATTTTCAGTATATTAGTCATAACTTAAGTGGCTAGCGCTCTAGAAAATATGAAAAATACCATTTTTTTTTTTTTTAATTTAATAGCATTTTAATAATAAAATGTTCTTTGATTCAAATTTTCTTACACTGAACAGATTTCCTCCCAGATTAGCATCGAAGAGATTTCAATTTTAAGTAATTAAATAAAAGTAAAATTTGTACATTTTCAACCAGGGATTAAAGGAATTTTGCCCAATTCAACATTTACATTATTTGTTATTACTATCACAAAATGATTATTATTTTTTTTTTAATTAATCTATTTAAAATAGTAAATTGCTTATCATAATAGTATAATATCTTCTAAAAATTAAACAAATTTAGAATTTCATAGATTTTTATTAAAATATTATACTATTATTCATTTTGATTAACATTGGTTTTAAATAAAACAAATTATGTAAATTTTGACTTGGTAACATTTTTAATAAACAGTTGCCCAAGAAGGTATACATTTTTTTTTTTTTGGCGCTTATACATTAAATAAAGTCACATTATTAAAAAACAAATTGTCACTTTAATTTATTTTTTTAGTGGCAGCCATATAATAACCATATTAGTTAATAGCCACTTAATTATACCATTTATTTTTTAATAAGAGGATCACCTTTTTTACGATGATAAAGTCGTTTTTTCTGTATTCATATTTAATTATAAAAAATTTCAAATGCCAGATATTAAAACAGTTTAGCCCTATGTATTTGACTTACATTTATTTAAGATAAATGTATTGTATTTTTCTAAAAACCATCATATGATGACAGCGTTTAGCCATCAAGGGCCATTAAGCTACGTGATATGGTAAATGTGTTTTAAATTTGGCCATCTCTGTCGAGTAGTTTAGAGTGAATAATCATATTTAAACAGCACGTCAGTTTTTTTCTGACTTTTTTAGTTAAAAAAGTTATGTGTTTAAATTGTGTCATGTTTTTTTCAGGAACGTCGTTTTACCAAAAACCAAAAATTTGACCACTAAAGGCTTGAGGACGTTGAAAAAGCATAAAATCAAAAAGCTTAAAGCGCGTGGATTAAAGTGTACCGTCAATGAGCTGGTCGGTTCATTGGGCGAATGGACGACACATAATTTGGAAATGCTTTGTGTGTCCAACAGTTCGTTTCTTAGTGATTCATAGTAAGTTTATATAATGTTCGACTAACAACCATACTAGGTTGGTAAATAATTCGACGAACCTTAAAGAGTATGTTGATTAAGGTTATTTAACACGGTGTACTTGCCTTTTGTTTTTCAAACAGTCTGTATTTTTGTGTTACTATTCTTATCATAAATTAAACGTTGTGATTATTCAAAGGCAATTAATACCTAGATACCAATTTCCTATAGGTTGCTTAAAAATTAAAACACTTTTTGAAATGATAGTTCAGTGTACATTTTTATGTATTATTATTATGATTGCTGGAGAGTGCAATGAAACTAACATCAAAATAAACAATTAGTAAATAATTAAACATTTTTTGTTTTGAATTCAGATAAAAGTAAACAGTCAAAACTCTATAACAAACAGATTTCCTTGTTATATGATTTTTATTATTTTTGTGAAATGTCATTTGTGTTATTAATTATTACGACAAAATATGAGTATTTATAATTCTTATGATTACATTTTAACTGCTCGTTTAAAGGTCAGGGAGGTTACAGATTTTTAGAAATTTTTACTATAGTGTTATTATGGATTTTCCTCGATGAAAAACACAATTTACTACAAATTATTGACTTATTGATTAAATGTTTTATTTGTTTGACTACAGATCCATATTTTTTGGAAATTTTTAAAAACTTGTAAATTTGTATTACTATTCGAAACATTAAGATGAACTATTTAAATTTTGATCTTACGAAATATCCTTGACGTATGCGTTTTTCTATCCTGTAAACTAACTACTAAAGCAATCGGTCTTGTATTTAAAAAAATTTCGTTAGTCCAGATGAAATTTTTTTTTAAAAAACCTTGTTGTAAAACCAATACTTGACACAAAACTTGGCTCAAAAAATGAAATCTGTTTATTAATATGTTGTATGGTAAAACAAAATTATTTGTATTAACGTGCGTCGTGTTAACAACATTACTTATTTTTTTGTTCTAGTGAAATGAAATTTTGTGTCACCGTATCGTTATCGAAATTAAAAAATTTGCGCTCTTTGGACGTGAGCAACACGGAATTCAGTACAAACAATTTGATAGCCGTGGTCGAAGATCTCCCACACTTGGAGTCGTTGGATATTTCCAACACCAAAGTGGACACACTATTGCCGTTGGGAAAGAGAAAAAATCAACTAAAAAAATTAAGCGTTTACAACTTGAAGGTACGGACGGAAATCATATAATCATACCGACATTTACTGTGTTATTTTATTTTTGCAATTTATATAAAATTACCGTTATAATTTTCAGGAAGCTACAATGCATCTTATTGCTTTTAGCCCGCTAAAATGTATGACATCGTTGACACATTTGGACTTGTCCAGCGAAAAATATTCTAATCCCTTCGAACCGTTCACTTGTGACACGCCTTGGATTCAATTTCTTACCGATCCCGATTGGTTACCCAATTTAGTTTCACTAGACATTTCAGGTAAAACAATCAATGTCCATTATTTTTTTTTATAAGGGTATTAATACCTAGTTAAATTTTAAGTGTTGAGGACATTCACATCAATCATCATCATTCATCATTGTCTAATCGTCTTTGGCCTTGACAATAAAAAAAACATAATTAAATTAAAAAATAAAGTTTATAACTTTTCATAATAAAACTATACTGAATACCGTTTTTTTTTTTGCAGGAAGTAACAACGTCGGACCTAAAATTATGCAAGACTTTCTCGCTACTCACCAAAAGTTACGATTTTTAGGATTAATGCACATGGACGACTGCGGGTTGGCCATGTTCACGATGCCTACTCATCCGTTTTACAATTCAGACTTAGTGGTAAAATTTAAAAAATTATTTTCAATCTAATTGTATTCTGAGTTTGCGTAATAGTATTACTCAATATTTAATTTTAACAAAAACAAAATAGGTCACCGGCGTCGTTACGCAAGAACAATTGTTGGCGGGTTTGAGACGCTACACGAAGAGACAGACTTACATACAAAAGTGTTTATATCACTTGTTCAAATGGACAGAAAAATACGACTCTCCTAAAGTGGAAATAATCGAAGTAATTCAATTTTTATTTGCCAATTATTCAACTCTCATTTTATCATTTTTTTCCAGTTGATTTTAAACGCAATGAACAGTTTGTACGATCATTTTTCCGTCCAAATGGCAGCTACCGCTTGTTTGTATAATTTGACAAAAAGCGATCTAGCTTCAAAAATACATCCCAGTGTTTTGGCAAAAGTCGTAGAAGCCACTTTGGACGCTATGGAACGCTTTCCGAATCATAATCAGTTACAAAAAAATACTTTGTTAACATTATGTAGCGATCGCATATTACAGGTAAAAAAAAAAATTATTGTCGTTTTATTGTTTTGATAAATGCAGATTTTTCATTTCGAGAACCACTCAAATTTTATGAACTGAATAAAACAGAAAACTACAAAACTAAAATTTTATACAACTAACTAAGACTTAAAAACATACAACGGACCACAATTTATACAATACATTTTGCGACAAATTGTAGAATTTAAAATTTCTTCATGAATATTATTTTCAAACCAAACTATTTAATAGCTGTTTTTTTAAAATATTTTTCAGGATGTGAAAATGGATAAATTCAGATGTGCAAAGTTGGTGTTGGACTCGTTGCATACGTTCAACGATGTCGTCATGAACCGCATGAGTGTCGCTATATGCAGTATACTCGGTAATATTTCATTGACAATATTTCAATGTCGACTTGCAATTTTAATGACCGTCCTCTGTTTTAGCCGCAAAGATATCGACGTCCGAAACGTCCCAGTTGGGATCCAACCCAAGATATATGTCTAAACTATTGTTGATAGTGCGTGAAAAATTGTCCACCAAAACTGTAGACGTGACCATGAAATTCACATTAAGCGCACTATGGAATTTGACTGGTAAACGTTCTACCTTTAGAAAAAAAAAAAAGTTATTAACTTGTAATAAGCCTAACATATTTTTTTGTCTAAAAAATATGTTTACAGATGAATCACCGACAACGTGCAAAGTATTCATCAACGAAGGTGGCTTGCAACTGTATATGGAAATATTAAATACATTTATCGATGACAGTACCGTAGAAACAAAAGTACTCGGCTTAGTAAATAACATTGCCGAAGTGCCACACTTGCGACCTAATCTATTTAGTAACGATATTATTCCCACATTAAGGTACGCGGTGCATTAGAGACGAATAATTAGAAACACTAAAAAAATAAACGATGTATTAATTATTTTACAGACGTTTGCTCATGTCTCAACAAATCGATGTAAGCTACTTTGCGGCCGGAATCATTGCACATTTAGCTTGTGAAGACGGTTGGGAGACGTACAGTATGAACGGTAAAACCAGAGTGTTGGAAGAACTCCGATTTGCTGTAAAGCAATGGGTACCGCCCGAAGGTGAAATGGTCGCTTATAGGTCGTTTCAACCTTTTATCGGTCTGCTCAACTCCAACGACATGCCGCAAGTCCAACTGTGGGCCGCGTGGGCTATACTCCACGTCTGCACTAAAAACGGTAAGTCTTGTAGCCGACGTAACAATAAAGGTGTTGTTCTGAATAATTATTGCGCATTGATGATTTGATTATTGTTGTCTTATGTTTCAGGCAAGAAATACTGTGCGATGTTGGAAAAAGAAAATGGAATTGTGATACTTCAAAACATAGCGTGTAACAAGTCTGTCGACGCCGAGGTGTGCGAGTTGTGCTACCGAATATTACAATTGATGTTTGAATACAGGTAATGTCTGTAAAAGGTCGATATGTCCAACGCCCTACGCGAGTGTGATTGTATACCGATATTGTGTTATAGGAACGTGACTAATCCGGTTGTACACGTCGTAAACGCGGTTTACTAGTATATGTAATACATACAGTCTTCTTATTTCTTTAAACTCGAGTTAAACTATTATTTTTCTACTAAACTTAATTTAATTTTGTAAGCCAAAATGTTAAAAATCTACGTAATATTGGTTTCCAGTATCGTTTGTTTATTCTTGTAAATATTGTATATTAAAAAACAATTAAAATAATTATGTCGACCGTTGATGAGATTCAAAATAGTTTTTAACTTTTAAGTGTATTTTATGTTTTTAGTTTTAGAATGTATTATTATTAAACTTATTTATTACTCATCAAATATACCTATTCGACAATATTGTTATTTTTAATAAAATATTTCCGTGTTTCTAAAAAGTTATTTTAGAAATTAGACTATTGAAAAATGTTTTATTAAAAATAATTAATATAATAATATACACACTGAACTTGTATAAATAACAACATTAATTTTAAAGAAACATACAACACATTAGTTAATTTAATCAAATTAAATCTTTATTTCATTTTTATCATTGTTCTATGCTAAAATACAATTTTACCCAATTGTATTCAATTTATCCATCAATAAATTTAAATCTGTACTAATCGTAGACCTTAACTTACTCTTGCACTAGCTTTTATCTTATTCATTAATACAATTTTATAGGGAAAAAAACATGGTTTTAACTATAAAAAATATCAATGTACATTTAATAAAAAAAAAAAAGTTTTACAAAATTTGACTACAGTAAATAAAATAATGGATTTTTTAGTAGAATATATTATATTTGTTCAAATAACCGTGATCTCTATAATTTAATATTTTATTTATGTACAAAATGTAATTCACATCAGTATTTATTGTTAATAATTAGTTATTTTATTGTGTATTATACAAAAATACAATTATTACGATATAATCATGCCGACTGGCCGGCTCTTTTCATCAGTGTTGTGATAATTAACGCGGATAAAATTCTGTAATCGTTTTAGCTTTACTAATTTTAATTATTTTACTATATTCTACCATTGCCGTGTATAAAAAAAAAGCTACGGCTATCCGATAACTGTTTCTATAATCGAGCACTGCTATTTAATTATTACTGTCGATTACGACATTACTGCGCTATATCGATATGTTCGCCAGCATACCTTATGTTTATCGCTTTTACTACTTACATATAATTATGTGTGTATAATTTAATCAAATGATTGACGTCAATGTCGATTCGTGTTTTAACTTTTATCGTTGTAATTAAGTGCTCAATATTGATAACGTATACTTCTTGTTGCTGTTTTTTTTTATTATTTAGTTTAATATATTTTTTGCGTACTTAATACAATGGTTATTTTTTAATAACACTACGATGTATAGAAAATAGTACGTCGATAAAAAAAATAATTTTTAAAAAATACTACCTATTAAATATAATAATATATCTAGCCCGTTTAAATATAATATGTTTGTAAATATTTTATGTTTTTTCAACGTACTTTTAGTGGTTTTTTTTTTTAAATGTAAAATATTATACTGTTTGTATAGAGTTTTCGTTGATGTTCAGTTAATTCAATTTTCAGTTAATCTTAAGCATAACATATAATACAATAGTGTTGCGCCAATGTTGTACCTAACTGATATAGTCGTCTGTGAACGATATTGTGCTGGTCATGTTTGGAATAATAAAGAAGCTTATTGTTATTTCGACGTCGAACATTGTGTGTATTATTTGAAATTATACTATTAACAATGCAGTTATTGCAGTTACTATTGTTACCTTGTGGTTACTGGTTTTGGATAGCCTGAGTGGTTTACGAAGGAACGCAAACAGCCGATGTTGCTTCAACGCAGTGATAATTCGTAAGTTTACAACTACCTCTTGCGTGGCCTCAGCAGCTCATAGGGTTTAATAAGAAATACAATTTTTATGAAATATATATATATAGTTTTCACAATTTTTTTTTGTTTTTTCCCCCCACCTAACTTAGTTTTTTTGATAGCAACTTTTGAAACTTAAATGGTAACGCATGCATTTCATAAACTTTTAAAAATTATGAATAATGTACTAAAAATCCTAACTTTTAAACTATTATTTTCAATGTTGACCAAAAATTGTTTATTGCAAATGAATAATGTGTTATATTTCACAGGTTTTTTTTAGAAACATGAACCTCTTTGTTATTTTACAAATAACATACATATACCTAGTCATACTTGCGTCACATTTTAATAAAAAAACTGTTAGTACACAGCCGGTAAAACACTTGCTAATTAATAATCTAAGTCATTGTGTTTATTTCAATTTTGCTAAATAATCTAAGTCATTGTATTTATTTCAATTTTGCACTGTACATTTTAAAATTGCCTATCGTAAAATTTACTGTGTTTTTCAGAATAAAAAAAAATTTATACTCATAAATTATGCGAAAAATCACCATTTTTTTTATAGCTGTCATTGTCGTCGAAACGTCGTCTTTGGGTAATTTTTATTTGTATTTTTTTTGTCTCAGAATGACTATCCGAAATGAATCGAACGTTATAATTATTATTATGGTTTTATGAAAATATCGTTTCGAATAAATATAGTATATTCTACATTAAAAAAAATAAATAAATCCAGTAAATATAGGAGGACAATTTTTATACACGCGAGTATGAATTTATATTGATACCGAATTTCGTTGTTTACATATTTTAGTCACACAAGGTCTGCCACATCCACCGGGTAAGTACCTCACAAATAAATTAACGGCACGTTATAATATATTTTAATATCCGTTTTATCTAATTATCTTGCACATATTTTGTACTTATTTATTGTATAATATTATCGTGAAATAATATAGGCCTGAAAGTAGCTATAGTAGTACAGAAACTAATAAAAAACAAGAAATGTGATAAAAACAATGATTTATTTATTTTTCAATTTAAAGTTGGCAAACATTAATTTGATTTTTAATAATCTGTAGGACTAGGCGACGATAATGTGGATAAGACGCCGCCACGGAACGCAGAAGGAGTTGGTAAGTATTCGATGAAGACTCGAATAAATTATTATAAGTTTAAAATTTCATTCTTTTTTACTTGCCATTATGTAAGATTTTTTAGCAAACATTAATTTGATCTGGATGATTTGTTGGATTAGGTAAAACGGTATCATGGGACGCAGAAGGTCAGTATGTAGACAATAGACCAGACCCACTCACTAAAAAGTCAGCAAAATAAGTAACCACTAATGAAATACATATTTGTATATTTTTTTTTAGCAACACCACCAACCACTCCTAAATCAATAAAAGGTATGACCGCTTTTTACCAGTACAACGTGGATTGTAGACTGTTGACTATTATTATTACACTATTAATTTACAAGTACAATGACATAACCTAGAAGGTAGAGCGTTTAAACAATTTTTTTTAGAAATTAACGATAATTATTTGGTCGAACCGTACTGTGGATTCTTACCATTTCCAGATTCACGTTCAGATTTAATAATAATTGCTTTGACCCGATTTTGGTTGCTTTATCTATACCGATTTGTACTGTACTCGGTTTAGACTATGCTGGTTTTTAATTTTATTACTTTTTAACAAAACACGGCAGTTAATTAATTTTATCTAGAAAGTTTGATCAGTCTTTTCGAAGAGAGGCAAATTCCAAAAGATTTAACAGATATAATCATCCGTGCATCAGGTAAGTGTTGGTATAGATTTGTAATGGTTTTTTGAACTTTTTGAAATATTTTACAGGGGTGGCTACAGTAGTTATAATGTGTTGCAAAAAGTAGGACTAAAGTCAGTCTGCCAAGAAAGGAAAAAATAATTATCGTTCAATATATTGTGGTGATAAGATATCAATGATAACAGTATTATGAAAAAATATTGTTTTTAAATTCGATAAAATATATTAAATTTATTATTATTAATTTGTATATAAGTTTTAGCTATTTATTTTTATTAATTAACAACAATGCCTAGTTGTTTTATTTGTTCAACAATAAAGAATTTTTTTTCCTTTATGTGGTCATACTGGTTTTAGTCCTACTTTTTACTTCGCTCTTGCATACAAGCTAGTATATGTTAGTTCATCTCTTTATATTATTACTCTATGATATTTTATACTTTACGAAAAAAACGGAGTAGTTATATCTATTTTGATCGTGATAAATTATAATAAATTTATAAAGTTTTAAGAAAAGTTAAAAAAAAAACCAGAATATTATATTTTTTTGTTTTTTTAGAAATCGAGGAACCCGTTTGTCCTCCAGCTCCATCTAAGCCTAAGCGAGGTATGAGCGTACAAATTTTGTAGAATATTATTACACTGTTCATTTTCAAATACAACGCATAACTAAATAGCATTTATCCAAATATTTCAGAGTTGAACAATGCTATTAATATTACTTTTAATAACATATATAATTGGAATCACATTAGCCAAAAATAGTACACATCTTAATTATTGTGTACTATAATAATATAATGGTTGAATATTTGTAAACAGATATCCTACATAATAAGTATATAATAGCACATAGTTAATGTGACACAAGTAATATTTTGCTTATGATATTTCAGTCTACAAAGAAACTAAGCCGCGGCGTGTGAGTTATTTTTTGAATAAACATTATATAAAGTGGGGATTATATTTTTGTTTTAATGAAAAAAAATATCAGAGTCTTAATTCTTTTTATATTAACTACCTAAGTGATAAACATGCATTCAAGGGGGGTTGAACGCGAGTTAAACCTCAAAGTATAATTAAAGTTTGACACTAGATTGATAATTAGTTAACTTTAAACTTAGTTGCAGTGTTAAAACTTAATACAGTGTACAAAACTTAAGTTATTTAAATTTGAGTTAGACAGTTTTAGAACAACACTGACTATACTAACTTTTGTGAAATCTTAATAATACCTATTCGTTTGGGGTCGTGTGTTTAAAATATAATATCATACTTCTGTGGGTTATAATGGTTTCCGTTTAACTGTAATTTCTTGATTTATTATAAAATCAAGAAATTTTATATTTATATAAAAAACAAGACTGTAAAAATATAACAAAAGTCATTTGTTTTTTACTATATTTCAGACAAAAAAAAGTAAAACCCTGCAGATAGTGAGTTATTTATTTAGTAATAATCATTACATTAAGTTGGTACTATTTTTGTTTATTGATAAAAAATATCAAAGTCTTATCTCTATATTAGAGATAATAATTTAAATCTGCGAAATATGCAGATTCATGAAAAAGAATATCATCAATATTACTGAGATTAATCGATATGTTCTCTGAGAATATTATTTATGTACATTATTGTTTAAAAAACATGAATATACTGAAAGTGTTAAACTCTTAGCTACAATTTGTATGTATGTGTAAACTAATATTTTAATACGACGGTACCTAGTTTTTTGCAATACCTCAAGTAAGGTATTATTTATTTAGGCTTTTCCATATTAATCTAGAACAGGTCATATTAAAGCTGATTAAATTTTACGTTTATAGGATTTTGATTTATGTTGGTAAAAAACGTAAGTAACATTATTAGTAATTGTGACATGTTGATAAGTTAACATATTATATTTTTTATATCATACTATTCTGTTGAATTTTTAAATCGCAGATCCAAAGAATATTTTCAATCACAGCTAAAAACACTTCGAACTACAATTCTGAATTTTCATAACTCGATGTTTTATTCTTAAAATTCTCATATTTTGTGTATTCTTGGTTTTTTTTTTATGTTTAATTTAATATTATGTTTCTTCACCATTGTGTTTGTATGTTTAGATTTTCCCTAACTAACTTATTTCACATAACAATATGTTTTACCAATTATATTGTATAGCATGCTGGTTTGAAATTTATTTTTATCTGAACTTTATTTTTATTTGTAAATATATTTAATAATCGTTATTAATAATAATTAGTTATTAACCATTGACAACAACCAATTACAAGTACAAATAACTGGTACAGTTTAAACAAGCTCAACTGTAAATTAGCATAGTCGTTCAAGAGGGGTATATATAATTTGAAAGTGATTGAATCACTTTCGAAAGCTTCGATACGAAGCAGTATGCGTATCTGAATAGTATAACATAGTACAGTCTAAACCAGTACAGTACAAACCAATATTAAAACAAAAAATTAACTTATTGGTAATCTTAAAAATTGTCCATATATTTTCCATATAATATTGTCTATGATTATCAATTTCCACTGGTATTCGTATGCCATTAAACATCTTTGGCGACGCCAACAGACAAAAGGTTATTATAATTATTCTGGCGAAAACGCTCATACTGAAAAACACAAAAAAATCCCTCAATACAGTTATAATTGTTATTCTGCGGTGATGGTTTTACTAGTCGCAATAAGTAATTTTTTTATACCGTTACAATATCGACACTGCGCTTGGCTATAGTCGATGAGATATCCAATTGAAACTTCAGAACATCATACATTTAAGTGTGTATAAATATATATATATATATAACACACATTTTCTATAATAAATGTTGACATTATTACGTTTACACAGTTCTATACAGTGTTGTAATTGTTAAAAGAAAAAGAAAAAAAAGAGTTAGTAATTGTGTAATAAAACATAAATGACATACAATTTATTCAAAATTATTGAAACGTTGTTTACACCGATGGTTAAATTTAATTTTTCATAAACAAAATAATATTTTAATATTTTCTACGTTTTTTTTTGAGGTCAAACATATTGTAAAACGTTAAACTTTATAAATTCCCATTAAATCTTTAATAAAATACATAATAATGAGCGAAAAAATAAATTGTAATTAATTAATTCTAATATAATGTGAAATTATGATAAATCCTTGGAGGATGTAGCTATTGTTCTTGATGTGTCGCCCAAAGTGATAGGAATAAAATAATTATCGACGTTCGTCTTTATGAATGTTAATTGAACCTTCAAATACTCTTCTATAGTGTTAGTTATTGGGTTAAAAACGGCCAGGTCAATGTTTCCTATGTCCACGAAGCCAATTAAGTAACTATACGTGTCCATAAATCGAATACACTCGTTTCCGAAATTTGCCACGTCTGCGGATGTAATAGCAACTGCATAGGTGTATGGCTGAACGATCCGTCTTAGGTGTTCGACCGGCGTACAAGGTATGGAAAGCTGATAGAATTTGTCGGAGATTTTATCCAAATAGGGTATTAGCATGGTTTTGAACAGCATCTGGGGTTCTTGCTGCAAGCCCACGACGAAATGGGCGAGCATAATTATTTTGACAAGCAGGAACACGCCAACGCTCTCCACGACATTTATTGTTCTTAACGATATTTCCGTTGACACAGGTCCAACCGGCGTGTCGTTCCATAATTCGAACACAGACTTATCTGCAACCGGCAGGTTGTATTTAATGAACTTGGCAGTGCCTTTGTAGAGTATGTTCGCACCTGACTTGCTGTTCGTCTCGTCTCGGTGTAGATAGTTGTATCGGTCATTTTTAAATCCACAAAATTACAGCATAGCAAGAGTAACTCCATCACGTCACGTGCATCGTGTAGGTTTTTGATTTGCACCGGTATTTCTATATTGCTATAGAATCAGCTTTGGCGACGCACACAGACAAAACGTTATCATAATGATTTCGGTGAAAACACTCCTCATATTGAAAACTAACAAAGTTAGCCGACGGCCGATAGACAAAAAGCGTTGAAAACGAAACAATATCACAATACAGTTATAATTGTCTTCTGCGCAGATGGTTTACCTGGTCGCAATAAGTATGCTTTTATACCGTTATAATATCGACACTGTTGCGATTGGGTAGTCGATGGGATTTTCAATCAAAATTTCACAATATTATAATGTTGTAATAAAAAAAAAAATGTATTTTAAAAATAGTAACAAGCCGTATCAAAAAAAACCAATCCGCTTATACATCTCTGTGTCTGTGTTTACAGACACTAAAATAATAACAAAAACAACATCATTGAAAACCAACACGGTCTCGCCGTTGCATCGAAGCTAAAATATTTTTTAAACGCGTATTTGACATCAGTTTCAGATTTTAACCTTTACTTTTGGGAGTGGGTAGGTCAATTAATTGGCTAAACAACGGGAAAAAGCCAGTAAAGTTTGGTGGGGGTGGGGCACAGTGGTTTCGGGAAGGTCACAGGTTTACACTGTAATTAATTGTAAAATCACTTTTTAAAAATTTTAACAAGCTGCACAAAAAAAAAAAACCAATCACTTTCAAACGCTTCGATGCGAATCGGTATGTAATAGTATGAATAGTATGTGTATACCAATACAGTCCAAAACAAGCACAGTAAAAACCAGCACACAGTAAACCTTTGTGATCTAAACATAATGTAGGTACCTACTATCTTAACAGTCAACTACTATTTTGAGTTTCAAACAACTGAAATGATACAACAAGTAAAATATCTGAATTTCATATCTTATACCTTATGGTTACTAAATTTGTTGAAAAATCTTATTATATCAAGATTGGAATTTCGATAGAAAAAAACTGACACTTGATTACCTACATTTGTTGACTATTAGCAGAAATCTTAGAGTGTTGTTACATTTAATCTAAATTTTTTATTGCATACTTTCTAGAAATATTGTAAAAGCATCGAGTGAAAAGAGTCATGATAATTTATACAATATAAACGTATAGCGACGTCAGCCGTGTAAAATTTTACCTAAGTTCTTCAATTTGTTCGTCAATACGACTAAAATATGTTCAATTGCAAAGCACATTGCAATGTATTAAGTATTATTTACTCAGTGCACATTTTGTAATAATATGTAATGGATACATATTATAGTTCTAACTCTTGATAAAATGTTCAACTTTAATAGGCCAACAAATGCTATAACAGCAAAAAATATAAAGAGCTAGTAAAGCCTATGTGGAAACATTCGAAATCCCAAATTGCTAATGGCCAACAAAATGCAAAAGCAGATAATATTTCTAAAGTGTCTACCGAACCGATTTCAAAAAAAAAAAACACTTGACACGACTGATCATGTGCTTAGCAACGGATAGAAGCAAAATCGCCAAGTCGATAAATAAACAATAATCATCGTTGTAAAATGGTGCTTTACTTTTATTCCAGCAATTTTTTTCGTGATCAAATTCAGTGATTTCTTCAGCAACGTTCTTTTGTCGTTGGTTTTCTGTGACTCTTTAAATGGATCTTTAACAGTGATCGAATGGATCGCTTCCAAACCGAGACGACAGAATTTTTGAAACCGGTACGGCGGCTGTTGGAAAACCTGTTGTCGCCCAATTTCATTACAGGTATGTTTATATTAGTACCTATTAGCAATACTATTTTTTTAGATAGTATTTAAATAATAATATTTGTAACACTACAAAAATGTTCTTTTATTTGTCCATCTTACCATTAATTTCATAACGGAACATTAATGCTAATTGAAATTTGTTAAAGATATCAACTATTTTTTTTATAAAAATCTATAATTTATGAAAAAATGTACACATGAATTTTTAAGTTTTCGACGTGTAGTTACCTAACTACTTACATTTTAACTTAGACTCTTATTTCATATATATAAAAAAAAAAAAAATTGGAAAAATAATTAAACGATAAATAGTAACTCTTTTGTTATCATTTTATGAATTAGGTTGTTATACTGAAAATAAGTAACATCTTTATTGCGCATAAAAAAACGACGTACAATTTATTCAAAACTATTGTAACAGTAGCTTACACGTATGGTTAAATGTAATTTGTAATAAACAAAACATTAAAATACAAATTTACTTATTGCATATTTTCAAAAGTTTACTATATAATATCTTCTATGGTTTTTTGGCGGTCAAACGTATTGAAGAACATTTACTTTTATGAAATCACGTTAAATCTTTAATAAAATACATAATAATAAGCGAAAAAATAAATTGTAATTAATTGATTCTAATATAATATGAAATTTATGATAAATCCTTGGAGAATAGAGCTATTGCTCTTGAAATGTCGTCCAAAGTAATAGGAATGAAATAGCTATCGACGTTCGTCTTTATGAATTTTAGTTGAACCTTCAGATACTCTTCTATAGTGTAAGTTTTTGGGTTAAAAACGGCCATGTCAATGTTTCCTATGTCCACGAAGCCAATTAAGTAACTATACGTGTCCATAAATCGAATACACTCGTTTCCGAAATTTGCCACGTCTGCGGATGTAATAGCAACTGCATAGGTGTATGGCTGAACGATCCGTCTTAGGTGTTCGACCGGCGTACAAGGTATGGAAAGCTGATAGAATTTGTCGGAGATTTTATCCAAATAGGGTATTAGCATGGTTTTGAACAGCATCTGGGGTTCTTGCTGCAAGCCCACGACGAAATGGGCGAGCATAATTATTTTGACAAGCAGGAACACGCCAACGCTCTCCACGACATTTATTGTTCTTAACGATATTTCCGTTGACACAGGTCCAACCGGCGTGTCGTTCCATAATTCGAACACAGACTTATCTGCAACCGGCAGGTTGTATTTAATGAACTTGGCAGTGCCTTTGTAGAGTATGTTCGCACTGACTTGCTGTTCGTCTGTCTCGGTGTAGATAGTTGTATCGGTCATTTTTAAATCCACAAAATTACAGCATAGCAAGAGTAACTCCATCACGTCACGTGCATCGTGTAGGTTTTTGATTTGCACCGGTATTTCTATATTGCTATAAATCAGCTTTGGCGACGCACACAGACAAAACGTTATCATAATGATTTCGGTGAAAACACTCCTCATATTGAAAACTAACAAAGTTAGCCGACGGCCGATAGACAAAAAGCGTTGAAAACGAAACAATATCACAATACAGTTATAGTTTTATTGTGCGGTTAGGTTAGTCGATGGGATTTTTAATCAAACTTTCAGAACATTAGTTATTTTTAGTTTGCTTAAACCAAAATCAGTGATAAACACATTTTCTTTTTTAAATTTTGGACGTTATTATAACCATCGAGTTTTCGTTGTATTAAAAGAAATTGTATTTAAAAAAATTGTAACGAGCCGCGCATGAAAAAAAAAAATACCAATCACTTTCGGATAAACGCTTCGATACACACAATTTACTAACAGTCTAAAACAGGCACAGTACAAGTTAGAAATAATGCGTGGTAAGAAGTATTACAATTTGTAAAATATGTAAATTTATCGGGCGTTTTTCTAGATTTCAAAAATCGAGGTATAACATATTTTGTGTGTACAAGTGTCCCGCAATCTATTATGTTCTGAATGGTAACTCATACCAACTATGAGCACCTGTCCTATTTTAAAACACTCCGTCAGAGAAAGTAATCTCAACGGGAAGTTTATTTAACAAAGTTTGCAGTGGTTTAAATACTTTTGGAAATAGCTAAATATCATTAATCATTTTGTACCCCGGTCAAAGATACAAAATAATTAATGTGGTAAAACTATTATCGAATATGTGTAATAGTTTTTTTTTTAAGCTATAGAAACATTTAGGCTAAGTGACTTTAAAACGTTTGCAGCACATTTAAGTTATTTTTTAATTCAATTTTTAAATATTTTAAACATTACACTAAACATTTGAACCAGATCGACAGCCAGACAATACTAAATCATAATTAGATCGTCGACGGTTCTACATTTCTGTAGTAATTAGATATTCTTAGGATCATTCTTTAATGTTGGTTGACACTCGGTTTGCTTTACTTGGTCCCTTGACAAACAGCAAATTGTGCTGAAAACAATAATTGTGTACATTTTATACATATGATTATTTTGGCGAAAACACTCATATTGAAAACTAATAAAATTGGCCGACGACTGATGGCCAAAAAGCGTTGAAAACAAAAAAAATTAACTGGTCGCAATAAGTGTTATTTTATACAGTTATAATTTTATTGTGCGGTTAGGTTAGTCGATGGGATTAATAATTACATTTTCTGATCATCATAAATTTAAGTTTGTTTAAACGAAAATACATATTCTAAAACAAAGATAGACGTTATTATGTTTACCCAGTTTTAGACAGTGTTGAAATTGTTTCAAAAAATTAAATGTAAAGGAAATCTCAACCAAAAGTTTTGTTAAATGAAATCATTCCTTATTAGTAGTATGTTTGTTGTTTCTGTATTTTAGAATGTATTAGTATTAATACACGCCAAGATGTTTTTTATATCTTTCATAAACGATACATTTATTTTCACTTTGTGTACAACATAAAAACAAAAATAAACTGCAAATAACTGAACATTTAGGCGTTGAATCGTATTTATATCTACTGTGTAAGTACAGATAAATGTTAACTAATTAATTAGAAATATAAAAACAAAATTTACAAACTATAAAGTGACTGTTTGTAATTGAACATGTTTCATTACAATATAACATTTAAACCTGAGGATAACTTTATATAAAAGTTAATCGTTAACATTATTAATATCTATATACATAAGCACGACATTTTTGAAGTAATATTCTTAAAAATGTAAAATATGTATATATATATTTTTTGTACAAACAGTGTACAAATAATATTTTAAAAAACCTAAGTTCAAACAATGCATATTCAGCAAAGTAAAAAATTGCCAAACTGGGGTCCAGTATAAATTTTTTTAATTTTGTATAGGTTCTTTTATAGTATTCATATAATAGACTGTATACTAAATTTATTATAAACGTTTATAAGCCCAAAATAGTCTTCAAAATCCACATTTTAATAGTTTTTGAGTTTTTTCATAATTATATTTTTTTTACCTATCTTAGTCTAATTTAAATTTTTTTGAACTTAAAATTGTGCTGTAATAAATATGTTACAATAAGTATGTTGGAAAATACGTCCCATACAGTGTCTTGCCATCCTCAATAATGCCAATACTGCCCTTGAAATGCCACTAGATTACTTAACTACACGGCTCCAATCAAGATTCCTTGGCGAGCCATGGTAATCTTTGTAAGAAATAAAATAAAATAATCAAACCACATATTTTTATTTTTATTCTTATGAATTAAATAAACCTATTTATATCAAGCAGTTGAAAATATATAAAAATAATATAATTTATTATAGTTAAAATAATTAATAATCAAAGTAATTAATTTTAACAAACCTATATAACTAAATTAACGACGTTAATGTATTAAAAATACATTTTATACAGTTATCTAAAGTACAATAGAAATAAATAATCGCAGAAAACCTTAACGGACTTGGTAATAACCAGAATTGTTTTAGTAATAACTAGGCTATTGTGGAAAAGACTGTGAATTCAATCACAAAATGCTTCTCCATTTGAACCACGTGCAGTTGGCATGATGTGGATGTGGCTATTGAAAAGTTGGAATGATCGGTGGCTGTTGCATGTTTACGTTTGGATAAGGCGGTTGAGTTTGATGGTATGCAGACGGTGGATGAACCAATTGTATGAGTTGGATCAGGCTGATATCGATCAAGCGGCACTGTTCCTTGACCGGGATGATTGGACTGAGGTGCATCTTGAGCTGTTGTTAACGGAACGTTGCCCATTGTGATATTTACATACAATCTAGTGTTTTCGTGCATGCCACCAACACAAGATTCAATCTGTAATTAAAGATGTCGTTACACAAAGTACATATATACCCATCATAAAACAAAAAATATATTTTAAATTCGGAATTACTTTTAAAAAATATTTTTCTTTTATAATGTCACAATATTTTAGATTTGACAAAATCAACGAATTAGGAATTGACAATTGTTCCGTCCAAGTTTTAGAACCCCGTTTTTCTACACCATCTAAACTTAATTTTGTCAGCTCAACCGTTTCATATTTTGTTTTCTCCATTGATCCGTACGGACGGGTTGGTATAAAAGCTATTTCCTAACAAAATAACACATCAATATATTTTTTTTAATCAGATTACGAACAGATTAAATACGTATAAAGTCGACATTTTTACTTTTTCTAATTTCACTTTAACAGTTTCGACTCTAACATTGCTATTGTTATCCAACTCTATAGTGATTGGTATATTCTGTCCAGGCACATAACCGGAATAGGGCAAACAAACAGCAAGAGTCATTGGACCAGACTTGCAACAACAACAATAAGAATAGTAATTTTTTTTTTCTTCTTTAATTGGTTCCTAAAATATTGAGCAAATACCCTTATTATTTATCTATACAAAATATTTCTGCTAACAAATTTTTTACCGATACATTTGGTTCTTCATTTAAATTAACAGGGGAAATCACTTGAAATGCGCTTTTTGTTTTTTATCTATTCCCCGTGGTATATGAATTGTAACTTTGGCTTCATAGTATATATTGCCATGTTCACCATTGTAGGTAGAAGGCAATTGACGTGGTAACGTGATATTAAACGGATAAACGTGTTCACCTTTTTCTAAATGTGATTCTTCTAAATGTATTACATTTACAATTCAAAATTTGTATATTTCAAGTGATAATTTATTTTTAAATAGTTTCAGTAATGTTACATACAATAGTAGTTAAAAAAGTAATACATTTATTGGTTAATTTCAATTTTTAAATAGTTTAATTTATGTTTATGACTGAGCATAGTTATTATAATAGTATGTTAACAGTATTTTCGAATCCAAAATAATAGATGACGACCGTAACAAAAAAATAATGTTGAAATTGTTTACAAAAATTGTACAAAACGAGTTTTAATTTTTTTTTAAATCCCATTAACATCAACATCACCTTGAATCAAATTATATTTTTTTTTTGTAAATTTTATCTGTTTTTTGGATAACTTTTAGCTGTTGCTTTTTTAATTAATATATTTTATTATAATCTATAATATATCAAAACAGGTTAGTTAAAGGTTCAAACTTCAAATCGCTTTTAAATTTATACCTATTTTATTATTAAGAGGACGCCACACCGGCCATTTCTAAGGAGTAAAGTATAGGCAATTTTTCGAAAAATCTTAATTTAGAGTTTGAACTATAATGTATACTTATTAATACAGTAATGAGGATACTTTATTAGTTGCCATTTTTTTTGTCAGACTACCACAGTCATTTTTATAGGACTAAATACAATTTGTTTGCCATCAAAACTGCTTAGCGCGGATTAATTTTTCTCAGGCTTCATACATAGTTAAGGAAAGAAATTCATACAAATTATTTATGACAAAATTATCTGTGTTCCATCATCCGTATTTGATTTCTTAGTTTTGATTATAGCTTTTGTAAAATTAATCCGCGCAAGGTGGGATTTTTGAAAAAAAATAACGGGAGTGTCACACCCTCTTAAGTAATTTTTTTTTTTGAATGCAAATAATAAACTTAAATTCTAGTTTGAAAAAGTTACATATCTATCCCGTAGAAAACTAAATCCCAACAACAACACAAAAAAAAGTTAATAAAAACAAGATTGACTTCAGTGCTCTACTTGTCATGTACATAAAAAGTAATTATTGTAGTAAAAATAAGTCATTATGGCGCACGTACCTCCTGTTAATGTAAATTTATTTTCAAAATATTCTTCTTCCGAGTGATGACGTTCTTAGTAATTTTCAGTTTTACCATTGATTTTTCTGCGAGACTTTTGTTTGACCCAATTTACATGAGCTTTGCCGTTTATTTTCATCTTTATGCCTTAAACAGTAAAAAGACGAACAAATGGAATTTTTAGAAAATTGTCGATGACAATCAAAAACATCAATAAGTAGAAAATAATTGTTATTATTAATGGTTGGTACTTACTACTGATTTTTACAGACTCGTCAGTTACAACAGCTAAAACTCTACCACTAACGGCTTGTCCGGGCATGAACACAGTAGTTGGGTTATCATAAATAATTTCTAAAGTTTTCACACCCATACCTATTTGTTTAAATACCGTTAAACACGTATAAGTTGTTAAATAATATTGTAAAAGCGAAATAGTTTAACTTCCCGAAGAGACACACCGAAACGATGCCAACCAAATAATATTCACAACTTTAATGGTGATCAGTTTATCAACAAATTCGCACTGTCTGTCTTTACGGTCTACACTACATAGAATAGAGGCACTCTACGATTTTTAAAAAAAATTAAGTGGGTTCCGGCACGCATTAGATAAAAGTTTTATCTAATCTGTGCTTCAGCGTTGAGTCACGGTTGTAAACGCTTTCTTAACCACTTAACAGATACACTACAAATATATCTAGATACTACAAAATTACAATTTATATTCGACATAGTGTTGCAAGTTTATATAATTGTCGAATGCCAATTTAGCTCTCCCCCCCTCACTTATTTTGAAAAATGTTTGTTCGAGTTGAGCACCATGGGCTTTGGTAATGCATTTCACAATGTCCTGTCTATCCTTTACTCTTAATAAATAGCGCTTTCCGTGGCCCTCGACCGACTCTTTTTAGTTTTAGTGTTTTTTTTTCAACTGAAATAGTTATCACGTTTAATTATTTGTGTTGGCCAAAAACAGTTATAATGTGCTAATAATGTATCAATACTTGACACGACTGATGTGCTTAGCAACGGATAAAAGCAAAATCGCCAAGTCAATAAATAAACAATACTCATCATAGTAAAATAGTATTTTACTTTTATTCCAGCAATTTTCTTCCTGATCAAATTCAGTGATTTCTTTAGAAAATGTATTTTTGTCGTTTGGTTTCTGTGACTCTTTAAATGAATCTTTAACGGTGATCATGGATCGCTTTCAAACAGAGACGACAGAATTTTTGAAAACGGCACGGCGGCTGTTGGAAAACCATTTGTCGACCAATTACAATACAGGTATGTTTATATTATTATTAGTATTTACCATTTAGTGTAAATTAGGAAAATATTCAAACGGACATACATACAACTTTCTTTTATTATTTTATAATAATTAACAGCTCTAATAGTTATATTATGAACATTAAGAACAATTTTTAAACAATTTTGTTATGTTGCGTTCATTTATATATACTGTTTTATTTGTATTAAATTTCATAATTAATTTTTATACTGGATAAATAAATCAATCATACACACGAATAGATTATTTATGTAATATAATAGTTAGCATAATTTTCAAAACCTTTTTAAAGTTACATATTTTGTTACCTATTTCGTTTACCGGCTGTACGGAATTAGTGAAAGTCTGTTTGTGGGTTGGATTTGTATATAAAAGGTAATTATTTATTAACAATAAAACAATCACAAAAATAATTTGAAAAAATCAAACGAATGTGTGACTCGAAGGGTTAAATTTAAAACTAGTCGAATTAGTTCCAAAATGGGTAACGATAAAAAAAAACAATCGACATGCCTTCTGCTGCTGTAATTATTAGCTCATTTTTTATCAATCTCTCGGCCGAAATTATTGGATCAAAAAAGTTTGAGAGGCCATCGCTTTATTTCAAGACGGTCAAGCAAGCACACACTATTATTGTCGGCTAATATTGATCATTTAATTTTCTCATTAGGAATAACATATGTGTTTTTTTTAATTCAATTAATGACAGTCGAAACATACAATAACATAAATAGTTTGAAAATATATTGCTCGATAGATCAAAATCGTTGCCCTTAAATTATATGTTTTTTGAATTTTTATGAGCTGAACTCGTTATTATAATTGACATATTAAAGTTGGAAAGTTATAATAAATCATAGTTTGACAATATCCTCGCATCAGGCATACTATTTTAGGATTTTGTCCACGAATATTTTAATATATATTTTTTGCAAATTCCGTTTTGAATATTTATAAGACATAATATATTGTATTAATTTTATAAAATAACGTGGAAAAAATGTTCGGTGATTTTTAACGTGCACCGGTGTCTAATTTGTACACGTTGTCCTTTTATTTGAATATATTTTGTTTTATGTGAGTATTAAAACTTAAACTTTGGTAGCTGAATGCGCGTTTAAAAGGTTTTAAAACTAAAATAAAATTAGAAAAGCCAGTATAGACTGTAGTATGAACGGGGCAGAGTGGTGGCGGATCATATTAGGGAGGGGAATTACAGGTCTATAAGAATATCATTACAAAATGAAAAATGTGTAAATTTATCGGTTGTTTTTCTCGATTTCAAAAATCAAGGTATATCGTTTTTCGTGTATACAAGTGTCCCACAATCTATGAACTTTTAAAATGTAACGACTTAAGTTGAAATTTTCAAGAAAATCAAAAACCGTCGTGCTTACAAAAAATAGAAAAACACGTTTGCACTAAATAGAAATATTAAAAATAATTGCTAGAATCTCCTTAACGGAATTTATTAGTACTATGACTAAATGTGAAAATTCCAAAAGAAATTTGGAACTAACTCGACTATATGAAAAATTGTATAGAGCGTTGTTATGTTTAAGTTGTATATAAAAGATATTTATGTTGGTGTATACAACCTATATACATACATTTTATAAATTCACATTAAATCTTTAATCAAATATATGATAAATGCGAAAAAATAATTTCTGATTAATGAATACTTTTATAACATTAAAATTATAATAAATCCTTGGACGATGTAGCTATTGCATTTTATTGGCGGCGAGGCTATTCAATAGGCATAAAATAATTATAAACGTTTGTTTGTATGAATTCCGTTTGGGCATTTATAAGCTCTTCTATAGTGTTAGTATTTAAGTAAAAGCTGTCCAGGTCAATGTTTCTCCTATGTTTACAAACCCAATACAATACGAATTCAATTAGCTTTTTTATTTTAGGTTGAATGCTTTTTTTCCGAAAATCTTTTATCATTTAAAAACCAATGTTATCATGTCAGAAATATCAATGGCGTTGAGAATGAGCTATACCAATTACTATGGCAATGTCTTTCCAATTGGACCCAAAACTTTACAATTATATATTAAGGTGTAAATTATAAGTATAAAACATTTATTTCTAATGTGACATTTTTTCATGTGAATGTATAATATAAATACTAAGCAATTTGAACGAAAAGTGTGTTGTGTTGTGATTGACTTAAAATAATTATTAATGCATGTATTTGTGTATGTGGGTTGATAATACTCACATGCCTGTTTCATTTATTTTTAAAAATATCAGTAATAAATTTATGAATTTCATATTACTACATACAAGGAATCACTTCTTGATAATACCAATATCGTTTTTTATTTTATTTTAAGCCTATGTAAGTATATTATTTTTATTTGATTAAACTTATCTAAGGTAGTTTAGTTATTTCTTACAATGATTTAACCCATATATTGTGTGTCTTACATATATTACGGATATTTGATCATACAATTTTAGCTATAACTGACACAGGTATTTGGCTAGCAAAGTTAAATCTTATATCAAATTTATTAACATACAATAATTCTCTCTTTGAAAAGTTGTAATTCACTTTATTGCATTATTTTATTAATAAAGTTGTTTATATAAAAAAAAAAGTTAGTCATAAATGTAAAATAGGCAACACTTTAAATATTTACTGTAGAATTAAAATAGTAAGCAATTTAATCCAAAATTCCTTATTTAGTGTAAATTGTTTAAAAAAATTATTTGAGCACAGAACATATTTTGAATTAATTGAACATAACTAAACAAATAATAGTAACGCTTCGCGACGCTTGTTCATTCAATGTAGGTATGCACTTATGAGGTTGTAAGCCAAATTTTAAAGCTATTGTTTACTACCTATAAAAACTATGAAAATTATATCTTTCTTAATAGCATAATATTAATCTGTTGTACTGGGTTGTACGAGTGAGAAGTTAGCCATAAACGAGCCAGTAATATTTAAACAGAAAGTGTCATGGCGTTGGTGTATGCTGTGTTGCCTATACTCTAATTATTCTAAGGGGCCGTCCATATATCCCCATACACCGACGATTATTATTATACGAAATCGACTTAATTAATCGACACTAATTATCGACAAAACAGTAAGAGTATATTATTAAACTTAAAAAAAAATGGCCCTTGGGGTTTTGCGGCCATCAGGAGCCGCCAAACCCGTGCACAAAAATATAGCCAACCGACCGAAACCGACAGCAGTTATGTCAATTTTTGACAATGTTCCGGAAGAGGTCCCCTCAATTTGATTAAACCAATCGAAAGCTTACTAAAATGTCTAAAAATTCGTCTCTGTGAAAACAGTTGGCACCGGGGGTCTTGCGCCCAACAGGAGCCGCCGAACCCGAACCAACGGGTCGGCTTTTTGAAACAATAAACGACGATTACAGTAGATACACGATTTAGCAGTCTGTGATATCATCTAATAAACACAATATTATGATACTTACCGTTTCGGTTCGATTAAAATTTATCTTACACACCACACACGGGTCTACGTTACCAACCGGTAGTTATTAGCGTCTTTTCGTTTCGACATCTGGTTGAAAATGGGTATAACTTGAATTTGAGGCTATTAACGTATAAGGGCATACAAAATAAATATTCCTTATAAATTTCAACTCGATTCGACTCATTTTCTCGAAATTACAGTCAATAAAAGTTCTAACTTGAAAATTCGTATGGTTTTTTTTTGTTTTTTCAAATTTTAATTGGGTTGTAACAAATTGTAACAATTCTTACACGGATGGTTAAATATAATTTGTAATAATCAAAACAATTTTAAAACTTTACTTATAATATTTACTGTATAATAATATTTTCTACGGTGTTTTACGACGCCAAACATATTGACGAACGTTAAATTATATAAATTCACATTAAATCTTTGATTAAATACATAATAATAAGCTACAAAATAATTTGTATTTAAATAATACTATTATAAAAAACCCTCGGAGAATCTATCAATTCCATTTCATGGGCAGGGGGCAATGTACTAGTTTTAAAATAATTACGGACGTTCGTGTCTATGAAATCCAGTTGACTATTCAAAAACCTATTTAAAGTGTTTGGGTTAATGTTGGTCAAGTCAACATTTCCTATGTCTACGAACCTATCCAAGTGTCTATACATATCCACAAATATAATACACAAGTTGTCCAAGTATGCGACAAATATAGGAGTAAAATCAGTTGTGTAGGTGCATGGTTGAATGATTTCTCTTAGGTCTTCGGCCGGCGTACGAGGAATGGATAATTCAAAGAATTTTTCATCGATTTTTTCCAAAAAGTATAGTAGACTGGTCGCATACAGCCTACGGAGTATTTGAGGTAAGTTCACAATGTCTCGGACTATTGTACTTATTTTAATAAGGAGGTATACGCCAACACTCTCCACAACATTTATTATTCTTAACGACAATTCCGGTAACAGATGTGGTAACCGTCATGTCTTCGAATATTTCCAACAAAGTCCTATCTACAACCTGTAGTCTGTAGTCAATAAAAATCGCAGTATCTTTATGGAACCTACCCGTACGCAGTTGGCTTTGGGCTGTCTCGGTGTAAACAGTTCCACGGCGCATTTTCAAATCCATAAACTTGCAGCATAGCATGAGCAAATCCGACACGTCACGTACGTCATGTAAGTTATCAATTTCCACTGGTATCGTTATACTATCAAACAGCTTTGGCGACACACATAGACAAAACGTTATTATAATTATTCTGATGGAAATACACATGTTGAGAACTAACAAAAATGGGTCGACAACTAATGGACTAAAAACGGTCAAGTAAAAAGGTTTTTAAAAATCTTACAATAAATTATAGTTTTCTTCTGCGGTGGTGGTGTAGTTTAAATTGTAGTTTAAAAAAAAAAATGAAACAAAATCACTTTATTTCGTGTTTTTTAGTTATGATCCTAACTTTAAGGGTAACAGCTATTAAAGTCTGATAAAAAAATACTAACC